CCCCACCCACGACACAACTTTTTGCTTTTTGCCCATTTGAATTGGTTTTAATTTCTTCTCACCCTTATCTACCGTACCTCGCTCCTCCCTACCCTGTCTTACAGTAATCTCAATTTCTCGTTCTATTCAATTCCTATCACTTCACGGCCCCTTTAATCCCGCTGTGTTTTGATGCCGGACCTACCGCTGGATGGGGTGACAGATTATCGACCAAGGCGCGCTTTTTGCGCCTTATATTTCCATGTCTTCACGGCCCCTTTAATCCTAATGCGTTTTCGTGATTGTATCTGATGATCGCCAACCGGGGTTACGGTGGCTGGGGCAAGAAATATGGGCCAAGGACTACACCTTGACGCCTAGAGATGGGAGGCTCGTCTTTCCTGACTTCACTGGTCCTTTAATCCATCGTGCTTAGGAGCTGCGGCGCGTAGGTTAAGTTTGAGAGGTGGTGTTAAGGTTGTTGATGCTTCTTGGATGGGATTTTAAGGTATCCAAAGGCTTAGAACGTACTGATGTACGGTGATGTACTATTGGCACTTAAATTCATGGATTTAAGGGGACTATGAAGCCATTTTTCCCTCTATCTCTTGCTCTCCCTCTTCTCCTTTGTCTGTCGCCCTCATCTCTCTCGCTCGCTCGCTCGCTCGTTCTCTCTCCGTCCGTCTCGCTCCCTCTGTCTCTCGGTCTCTCTGTCTCTCCCTCTCAGCCTCTCTGTTTCTCTCTCTCTCTCTCTCTCTCTCTCTCTCTCTCTCTCTCTCCCCGTCTCTATCTCTCTCTCCTTCCCCTATTCTCATTAATGCGTCGATTGATATCTTTCGACTTCAGTTTAGTCGTCTACTTTTTGCCGAGCCGACTCCCTGGGGGTGGCCACCAGACCGGAAGTCTTATCCCCGTTTTTTGCGACCACTTTTTCGTAATAATCTGGCTGCCAGGGGGAGAGGGGATTTGCCGACAAAAACTGTCCTCTTTAGCAGTTGCTAATTATTTTCTATGGCTTCTCATCGATTGCCCCATCCTTTCTATTCATCCCTCAATATCCGGCTTAACCCACTCCCCCCCAGCGATAATCCCCCTCGACATCTCAAATCCATATGAATACTAATTCCAGAGGTATAGAAAGGGCCCCCGGCTACGTTTGGCTCCTTTGGACACGCTGCGATTACGGTAGAGATTGATAAGACCAGTTTCTCTCGGCGGGACGTCTCGTCGAAAATCAAACAGTGTTCGGCTGGGGGGAGGGAAACCAGGGGGTCGATGGGTGTAAGCCGGAATCTAGAAGGGAATCGATTTTTGTTTGTAGTTGCGTAAGGGAATTACGTAGGCCGGAAGTTGTTGACTGTACGATCCGACCAAGCTAAGCAAGCTAAGCCGCCTACGTCAATCCAAGTCCACCCGGCTGGAAGTCAGGCTCATTACGGAATCCGGAAGTCTGGTTACGGTTCCTCCCAAGCTACGCAACGCTAGGCAGCGCGACGCAAGACTACGCTGCGCTACGCAAGACTACGCTGCGCTACGCAAGACTACGCTGCGCTACGCAAGGCTACGCATTTTGCTAGTGCAAAATCGAGTGCGTACCAATACGAATTACGAAACGCTACGCTTTAAAAGTGCCCTGAATTCTCGGCGAGACCTTTCATCGCTCCCGAGCCGTAAATTTAGGCGCGAAAAAAGCACAAGTCTAGAGAGGAGAGTGAAGCCATTGCACAGCCCCCCCTAGGCTGAACTCTTATCAATTTCACCCCGCTTCTGAGGGCCCGAAAAGGTCCTTTTACTGGTTATCAATTTGACAGGTCGGGGGGAATTTCGACCGTGTAGGTATTGGAAGGGGAATTTTACGCGGGAGGGGGGACTGCTTAAAGGGACCGGCAAGGGAAAATGGGGCTGCGAGACAGTTGCATTTTTTTGCGATTTTAGAGGTCTGTATTTTCTATCAATAGATTGCGCTCCCTCTCGCTTTCTCACTCGCTTTCTCTCTCTCTATCTCTCTCTCTCTCTCTCTCTCTCTCTCTCTCTTTCTCGGTTGCTGTTTCTCTCACACTAGCTTCCTGTCTTTTAGTTTTTTTGAACTGTCATGCACTCTCTCTCTCTCCCCCCCATCTCACTCGCGCTCTTTCTCTCTCTTTCGCATCTCTCTATTGCTGTCTCTCACTTCCTTTCTATCGTTCCCATTTCAGAAACGATTTTTATACTTCCCCCTCAAATTTCCGCTCCGCTACTGTACCCAAAAAGCTATACCGTACCCTCCCTACAATTTCCGGTGCCCATAGTCGCCTTCCGTAGTCGTGGGGCCGTTTTTCGAACGAAATTTCTTGCCCGGGCCCAGCCATCCACCCAGGTTGACGGATTACTGTCTACAGCAAAAAATTGGCGCGCGATTAGCATCTAAAGGGGCTGGGAACTGAGACAAGGGGAGGGCGAGACAAGAAAGTGCATTTGTATCGATATTCAGCGATGGCATCTGACACGGGCGGTAGGTCCTGCCCCTCTTCTCCACGCTGAACAGCAACTGCTCCGCTCCGTTCCGCCGGCGCGACGGCCATTTATTATAACGCGCTCGTGTGTGGGTTTTTGGTAGTTTTCTCTCGCGTTCTCCGTCTCTCTATCTCACGCTTTCTCTCGGTCTCTCTCTCGCTCTCTTCTCCAGGAATCTCGTGCCCATTTCTCAATCCGTCTATATCGCGACATCTCCAGGGGGCGCCTGGTGTCGTACGGTAGACCAGGTGACGCTTGGAACTTTGGCAAAGTGCCAAGAATAGAGCGAAAGAGAAAGAGATAGAGAGAGAGAAAGAGAGAGAGAGAGAGAGAGAGAGAGAGAGAGAGAGACAGAGAGAGAGAGTAAGAAAGAGAGAGATAATGAGAGAGAGAGAAGCTACTATTGTATGAGCAACCCAGTAAAATCCTGACATCAGCCAAGCCAAGAAAAACTCCCAAGCCCAAAGCTACGCCTAAGCTTAAGCTCATCTTAAGCCTAAACATAGCTGAAGCCAGAAGCTTCGGAGCAATACCAAGCACGCAAAGCCGAATGCTAGGCTTAAGTCTAAGCCGAAGCTCAAGTATGGCAACAGCATAAGCATCCGCGCCCCTAAAACGCCAAAAGCTGTGACGTTGATCGCTTAGCACCCCCAGACGTCGACCAACATCCCTATAATCCGTCAAATCTACCGTACCCACCCCAATCGATACCCACTGGGAACTTGAAATGACCGACGCGCCGATCGGAAACTCGACCATCATTCCCCCCAGCCAACCAATCATCATCGCTCCCCACGCACAAAAACCGAAAAGCCATTATCTGCAGGGGAGGCGTTGATCATACCGTAATCACCTAGAAATTGGGGATACGGTAGCTGGGGCATCCTATAAAAATGTTGCACTTGACGCCGGCGATGTACTTTTCAGTTGTTTATTTTTGAGGCCGGGGAGGGGGAGATAAGTTAAGAGTTGTTGGTCGGAATGGTTTTATGGTTAGGAGAGAGAGAGAGAGAGAGAGAGAGAGAGAGAGAAAGAGAGAGAAATTTCCTAAATAATCTTTGCTATTTTTCTGATTCCTTAAAGCGCACGTTCAGGGAGGGGCCGTGTACTCGTCCCAACGTGTACACCCTATGGACGTAGGGACCGCGCGCACTACCTTCCCGTGCCGGGGGACGCAATTTCCCTCCTTTGCGGCGTGGTGCGCCCCTCACCCCCTCGCCAGGTTGTAGCTGTGGCTGACTGGTATCCATCCGCGCCTCCCGAGCGGGGGGGGGGTTCGACCCCCGGCCGCGGCAAACATCTTTGCTTTTTTTCCAAAAAAAAACGTCCCTGAGCGTGCCCTTTAAAAGATCTGTGCTAGCTTGTCCTGATTTCTGAAAAACTCTGCTAGCCCGTCCTCATTTTTCAAAGAATCTCTGCGAGCCTGCCCTCGTTTTTTCCAAAAAAATATCTGCTAGCATACCATCATTTTCAAAGAATCTCTGCTAGTCTGCCAATGGATAGCTTCCCAACCTAAAAAACGGATCACGGTAACCGGAATCCCCCGGAAGCCCGGGATATCCCCCAAAAGACCGAAAAACCACCCGAAAAAACTGCGAATACGGTATCCCTGGCAAATCAGGGTTACCGTATCCCGCAGTCCGGAAAAGGCAACTTTTTCTCACACCCTCGCCCCATTAGCCCAGGACGGTGGGGAAAGATCGGCCGGATAGAGCGAGAGAAGAGAGAGACAGGCAGGGGTAGAGAGAAAGAGTGGAAAGGAGCGGAATCGGCTTCAACCCTTTGATGGCCCGTTGTCTCTACCCACCCCCTAGAGGGGGCAATTAATCTTTTCGACCGTCGTCCGAATTTCGTAGAGGGGGGATGGGACAGTGTTCTCTGTCTGTCTCTCTGTCTCTGTCTCTCTCTCTCTCGCTCTCACTCGTCGGCTTCGAAACAAGTTCTGCTCCCCGTTGGCTGTGGTAGGTGAGACATGTCGTTGCATTCCTTCGAAAGCGGCAACTGTTCTTACAGATTTAGGGGTTGAAATTGGAAGGAGAGAGTTAGAGAGAGAGAGAGAGGATCGAGATACAGCAAGAAAGGAAATAGATCTGTCTCTCTCCCATTCTCTCTCTCTCTCTCTCTCTCTCTCTCTCTCTTTCTATCACGCACGATAGGCAATAAAACCAATACGCATGCCTTGCCTTTAGTTCTAAACACCTCTAAAGGGATGGTGACATCAGCGTCAGCACCCATATAGCCAATCTCCCTCGATTTCCACCGAATTCCAGACAGCTTCTCCCCCCTTCCACCCGATCCACTGTCTGCGGTAGGCCAAGCCGTCCTCCCGAAGACGCACTGTAGGGTGGTGCACACAAAAAGTGCATCACACCCGCCGCGGAAGGGGTGAAAAGCCCCCGCCCGCTCCACTTCTTCGCCCACTTTTTCCCCCAACGGCTTCACCCTGTCTCACCCCGACTTTTGGGGCGTTGAACAAGGGGAATAACTCGATTTAGCGGCGCGATTTTGGGAATTTTTGCCACCCTGTGATGCTCTGCCTAGTGGGGATATCAAGGTACGGTGGAAAATAGGGAAACGGTGCATTAGTGAAGTTTCATAATGCTTAGTTCTACACGGCCGTCGTTAGCACTCCCAAGCAGTGCTACTGGTGCTGGATTAAGATAGTTGATCCAACCATATGTGAGGCTTATGCAGAATGTCTGGGTGAACGGCTTGCGGACGCGGTACATATCGCGTAGAATATACCCGATAGAAGAAAGAAAGCGAGAGAGACAGTGAGAGATAAAGGGATAGAGGGATAGAGAGAGCAAGAGCGAGAGAGCGAGAGACATGGAGCAAGACAGACAGAGAGGGAGAGAGAGAGAGAGAGAGAGAGAGAGAGAGAGAGAGAGATAGATAGAAGGAGCGTGAGAGAGAAGGAGCGTGAGAGATAGAGCGAGAGAGAGAGAAAGAGAGAGCAAGAGCGAGAGAGCGAGAGACATGGAGCAAGACAAGAGAGTTAGAGAGAGATAGAAGGAGCGTGAGAGATAGAGCGAGAGAGAGAAAGAGAGAGAGCGAGAGCGTGAGAGAGAGGGAAAGAAAGAAAGCAAGCTATAAACACGCGAGTAGTATATAGAACCACATTTTAGTTTTGCGTTGCAAAATGTCTTTTTTGAAGTACCATATTCCCGATTTCCTGAATGTTGCCTCCCACTACCGTAACCGCTCTCAAATTCCTTCCCTCTCCCTCTTGTTCGACCACCCGCATCGTCCCCTTTCCTATTCGTCCCGGAGTGCAGGGGTCAGAATCGTTCTCCCGTCGAGAAGAAGAGGAAAAAGAAGGAGACCTGAAGAGAGGAACAACAGCAAAAGAGAACCCCCTCCAGTGTGTGTGCTGTTTTTTGCATGGCCGCGGACGAGACGCGGGCTGGCCGAACGGGGAGGAGAAGAGGAGGCCGAGATGGGGGCACTTTTTGCTTTTTGCGAGGGACGAACGCGCGGGCGACTTCGTGTGCGGTCGGAAGGGGGCGGGACTTGGTGCTCTCTCTCCCTCTCTCTCTCTCGCCCCTCCTCAACACCCATTCCGACCCCTACACCAACAAGGGCGACCCCCTTCCCCCAGAATGGAACACACCCACCCACCCCCAGATACTCCGCCCACTTTTTAGTTGCGAATATGTAGCCCTGGTTGGGTCGAGCGCACCGACCATTCGGGTGGACTGGTCAAAGAATCTCTGCTAGATCGCCTAACTCGCTTTTGATTCCTGAAAAATCTCTGCTAGCTTGCCCTGGTTCCATCAAGATCCACTCCACTCACTAACAATCACCTCTGTTAGCCTGCCATTAACTTTTGCTGAATTTTTAAAAGGATATTTGCTAGCCATCCCAGCTCTCAAAATTCCTAAAGAATCTTTGCTAGCCTGCCATCAGTTTTCGCTGGTTCTTAAAGCATTTCTGCTAGTCTTGCCCAGTTCTCAAAATTCCCAAAGAATCTTTGCTGTCTTGCCTGATTTCAATAAGCTCGTTTGGAGTTCGAGCCAAGTTTACCCCCCTTGGATCTGTCTAGTAATCCACACCCTTCTCTCTCTCTCTCACTCGCTCTCTCTCTCTCGCACTCCCTCTAACCATGAGTTGCCTTCAAGATCGGATCTTCCCGCCGTCGTCGTCGGTCCCTTTTTCGGTCTTTTCGCAATTTTTTACCAAACGCAGTCTCCTCTAGCTGGTCAACACAATGAGACTTTTCGGTCTCACTGTTGCAACAAAGCCATCAATTTACCGCTAAACTGGTGGCTCGCGCGTTCCTCAGCCCGCCCGATTTTGGCCGTGTTTACGAAACGGTTGAAATCGGGGGGCTTTAAAGCGACTGGGAAGCTCAAATTTTGACTTTTTGGCTGCTCTGGCTCGATTTCCAGCCTTAACACCGGCAGCCATAATCCGGATATATTCTTGACGCTAGTTTTGTTTAAAAAGTGTTCAAAAGTTTTTTCCTTTTAAACGGCTATTTTGTCTGTCGGGATTTTCGCTCTCGGGCTTTTGGCCGGTCGGTATTTTGTCTGTCGGGATTTTCCAAATCGCTCAAGGAACGCCTACACGTCAAAATTCTTGGATTTTACACTTTAAAGGACCCAGGAAGTCAGCATTTCCTACGTATTTTGTGGTTTTAAAAGACTTTTCAAGGCAAAAACTATGGTTAAAACTTTATTAGCACCTTTCAGACTTCATTGGTTCTTTAAACTTGAGATTAATGCTCCAGAACACACCGATTTTACGAGAAGAACCTGTGGGCGGTTAATCAGCATGGGAAAGAAGGAATTTCCGAATTTCCCATCTTTTTGATAAGTGTAAAGTAGTGTAGTTTGTAGTTTTCGAATTAAAACCTCGATTAAAGGGACGAGGAAGGCTAATTTCCTAGGGATTTTTACCTATCTTCCCGCTCGACGCGACAATTAGATCGCGTAATGGAAGAATCCTGATCACCGCGGTCTATCCGCAAGCGCGTTGCGTATTGCGTATTGCGAATCCAGCGATAGTCCGTGCCTTCAGCGGCCCTTTAAAGGGCCATTGAAGGCTCTCTTCACCCTTTCCTGTCCACTTTTTACCCCCTTGTTCATCATCAAATTAACCCCCCGGGTTGCAAGACATCGCAACAAATCGGAGTGCCGCGCCCCCCAAAAAATCGCCGTTCCACCTTGGCGACATTCAACGTGTTTTTTTGGCGTCTGGAGGGTCAAATTTTAGCAAAAATACGGTTTTTCCGATGTGTTAATAGTCGCTGACTGTACTTAGAAAGTTTTGCCAGTCAATTTGAAAAATTTTAAGACTCATGGTACCTGGTAGTCAAAATTTTTCTTTTCTCCGAAAAATCGACACCAAAATTTCCGTTTTTTTGGCTTGCTTGTCCCTTTAACTCCCGGAGTCGGTCGCAGTTTCGTACATTTTCTTATGAATCAGGCCAACTAGTAGCCAGAGCGATTTTTTCGGTCAAAGTGGCCCAACTAGACGGACAAGTTCAGCCTGGACGTTTTTAGTGGGTTCCTGGAACAGCTCTGTCTCCGAAATTTGGCCAATCAGGGGAGTAAAAGCTATTTTTTTATGAATCACCAGGGTTGAAAAGCCGCTTCGCGGCTTTTCAACCCTGGCCCCGTCTAACCCAATGAAAGTTTTGCACTTTGCATAAGACGGCCCGACTCACGCTGAAAAAAAGTGAAAAATGTTCTCTCCGCTCCTTTATATAGGCTACCCCCACTTCCGGTGTATGCTAATTGATTCCTAACAAAGAGGGTCTTGGATTTTTGAACAAAAACTAAAATTTAATGTCGAAAATAAGCGATCCTGATAAATCTGATATGCGTGCAGTCATCGCCAGACCATTACGCTCCTAATGACGTATCAAACATGCCCCTAACTACTCTCCTTCTTGAGATACGCCTGGAACAACCTGACGGAAGTTGCATGCAAAGTGGCACACACACACACACACACACTACTTTTTTATATATAGTAGGATACGCCAGACGGACGAAATTACCGTAGTATGCGTGAACTTTTCATTAAACTTACAAAATGTTATTTTTTGTTTTTCCGTTTCTAAAGGCCTTAAAGCTTCTATGCCTCTAAAAGCTAAAAACGACGAAGTTTCCAATCTTTCGACTACCGTACCCCCTCCCCCCATTCTCCCACCATTAAATTCCGTTGCTTTCCGCCACGCGTTGGCACGTTTATTGGTGTCTCGCGTAGCTCTAGTTCTTCCGAATTGCTTTTCATAATGCTGCCAACCTAAATCCAAATTCCAGAAACTTCCCGCTCCTCCGGAACCATCCGGTCGACCACCAGACAATCCAAAACGGGTCCCCCCACGACAACCACCGCGAAAAGCGTCTTCACCACGTCGTCAGCCGACGAAAAGCAGCTCGAAAATTGAAGTAAGTGGCGCTAAAGGAGCGTTGAAGGCAAGTGTTCAGCTCCAGCATGCTCCTCGTGTCCGACGAGGGCTCGACCGACTCCGTCTCCCCTGCCCCGTCAAATAATTCGATGAATTCACAGGTTGGAAATGGAGTTTTGCCTAGATTTCTCTCTCTCTTTCTCTCTCTCGCTCTCCCTCTCTCTCTGTCTGTCTCTCTACGTCTCTCTGTCTCTCTATCTATCTCTCGCTCTCTCTCGCTTTAAAGGACCTTATAAGCCAAACCCTTTTCTCCAGAACTCGACAACAAAAGAGGAAAAGAAGTACTACTGCCAGCGATGCCTCAACCACAGCCTACAGTACACCCGGAAAGGGCATAAGCCCTTTTGCAAGTGCGTTTTTACACGATGCATTAATGGGAGGCGCCGAGATGCATTTTAAGCAGCCTAATAGCTAGAAATACACCCCCACTCTCTGCTAGGCTGCCGTCAAAACTCTCCCAGGACATTGCAAAACGTTTCCTAAATAAACTCTGCTAGCTTGCCTCGATGTACCACAAATTTCCTTTGCTTAAAGGGATCGTGTCTGCAAAAAGTTCCCAAAAAATCTCTGCTAACTCGCCTCCAGACGGCCGATTGAAACAGGATTTAAAAAAAATATTTCCTGTACTTTTGGTCAAGAAAACGTGCATTAATAGGAGGCAGACCCTTCTTATCCCTTCCGTTGATAGCTGCGTTTCACCTTGCTGTCACACCCCCTTTAAACTCATTTCTGCCACATCTTCTGCCCGACCGTAGACCATCCATCTCCTCTCAAATGGCCTGCGAGTGTAACGCAAAGATACCTATCTTCCGCTTTTTCTCCCGCTTCTTTCCACCTCATGCTCCCCCTTAGGCTACGATTTTCGCAAAATCGGCGTCGCAACATATTTTCAGTTTTTTGCGAGCCTCTCACCGGGGCGTCGTGGCGCTATCGGGGTTTCGGTCCGTTTTTCCGTTGGTGTCGGCTTCTCCTTGCCTCTAGATGGGTTGTTGGGAGTATCGTTGCGGAAAGTCCCTTTCCTTTCCGCCCCTAAAAGAGGCTGACACGGTGATGAATCGCCTGTTTTTTGTGTCGCTTTTCCACTTTCGAAGGGGTCATGATGATGATTTGGGGGGAAGGAGGGGGGATAACACTAACATTGCAACCAATCAGACCGCCACGAAAAGGGGGTGATAGGGGGTTAGAAAAAACTGTGAAAGATCGGGATCTTCTGGAAGAATCGCTGTTGGCTTGCCTGGGTCATTCTGGGATTTCCTAAATCGAAAATGCTGGCTTTGCTTGAGAGTTATGTTGCGATTCCCTAGCTTGTAGATCATATAAACTTCCAAAATTTCCTTTTCTACCAGTTGGCCCCTAAGATGGAGAGAGAGGGAGAGGGAGAGAGAGAGAGATATAGAGGGTGAGAGAGTGAGAGAGAAAGAGCGAAGGAGAGAGCGAGGGTGAGAGTGCGAGAGATAGGGAGAGAGAGATAGCGAGAGAGAGAGAGAGAGAGAGAGAGAGAGAGATAAGGAGAGTAAGCGTCAGCTAAAATTCCTAAATTTGCAACAAATGATTTTTTCGAAATTATGGTTTTTTAGATACGCGACCTGCAGTTGCTCGCAATGCCGAATGGTCGAGGAGCGGCGACAATTGAATAATATGCTGTCCCGGAAGAAGGTGCCACTTCCCCCATCAGAGACTGTCAACGGGAGGCGGATACGGTAAGTAGGGCGTGGAATGGAATCCGAATTGGTGATAATTTTAAAGGCGTGGTGGCAGCTGGACTGGCTAGAGAGCAGAGGTTCCTTATGGAGTCATCTAGGGCAACTGGCAAAGATTCTGCTGGAATCCATCCGCTTCAGACCATAGCAATAATCCTGTCCGATCAAAACAGCGAGCAGATCCGGAAAGGCAAAGCAATCTAGCAAAGATCATTTGTTCATCTCCAGGGCAAGCTAGCAGAGAGTCTTTCGGATTCTGGCGCCTGGAATGCTAGCAAAGGCCCCTAGGGAATTTCTCTGATTCTCTACCACCTCCACCTAGCCCCCAACATTTCTTCTTATTCAAAAAGCACGGGGTGGGCCCTGGCGCGCGAATCAGCTGAGTTCGCGCGGGGCGCAGTAGTTTGCTTTCGCGCGCGGGGGGCCCGCAAAGAGGTTCGGGGAGCCCGGATACTGTTTGTATATGTCTGAAATGTTGCACTTTCTCTCTCTCTCTCTCTCTCTCTCTCTCTCCCTCTCTCTAGCTAGGCGCGTGTCGCGAGGACCCTTGCCCTTTGGGGAGGTTTCCACAAAAGGCCCTCCTGCGGGTCCGTATACTGAAATTTGGAGCGAGCGCGCGCGTACACAGTACACATACGGACTGCTGGTGGGTGTCCTTGTGTGTTTGTCTTGGTCTTTGGCCCTGGGCCCGGGGCCAGAAAATTCTTGTCCAAACGTTTTTTGGGGTCTGGGGCGTTTGTTTTGATCGGGGAAAATCGGAAAATCGGTCTTGAAAACCGGAAATTCGAAAATTTGGGCTTGAAGCAACAGCTAAACCCGCGAATTTCATATGCTAATCAGTTAAACCCAATTAAGGGCTTTTAAAGGAACCGGGAAGCAAAGCTTGTCAACGATGATTTTCATATGCTAAGGGGTGATGCCTAAACGAAACCCGAAAATTTAAAAAAATTAAAAAACTAAAGGGACCCGAGACTCGATAATTTCCGCTTTTGGGCAACTTTACAACGGAAGATTTTCATAAGCTAATCAGCTAAACCCGATTACGACCTTTTAAAGGAACTCGGAAGCCAAAGTAAATTTTTTGGCAGGCGTCCTAAAACGGTTTTCATGTGCTATTCCATTAAACCCGAATTTTCAGAGACCCAAAATGCGCCCGCTGCTCCGCCCACGGGCTGAAGAAGCCGCTGCGCGGGCACAAGAAGTCTTCCTGTCCCTACTACACGTGCACCTGTCAATTGGTGGGTTGCGGAATTTTTAAAAGAACCGGGAAGGTTTGGAAATTTACGTTATAACTACAAGGTTCCAAAAACTGCATTTTTTGGGGGTTTGGAATATTTTGAACTAGTACCGTAATCGGAAAATGGACATTTTGTGATCTAAAAACTGTAAGCTCTCCAGACTACAGTTTTACGGAATTTTCGGATGTTTTTGCCAGCTACAGTATGTCCAGGTTTCCGTAGTCCGTCTGACTCGTATTTTTTGCTGCTGATTCCGAATTAGGCCAACGCAAGACCATTTTATGGCCGTTGAAGCCGCTGAGGCCAACTTTTCGACTGTTTTTCGAGGGGCTGGCTTTTTGTAATTGAGAGCCGCTGCGGGACCACCCGCGAAGCCCCATAAATACTGGCGGGCGAACGGCGCGGCGGCCATCAAAGAGTTCTCTCTCTCTCGCTCTCTCTCTCTCTCTCTCTCTCCCTCTATCTAAAGCTTTCAACCCTGGCAAAAAATAATGCAAAAAGTCCGACACACTCCGCGGAACGCTTGAACTTTCCGGGGCACCGAGGGACTGGGCACCGAGTCAATTTCGGTCTAGTTTCAAAATATTTAATGTTTTCGAACTTCTGCACCGCATTACCATGTTTTAAATGGCCATCGAAGGCAAATCCGTAGCCTAAAAAATACCTAAAATCCCGATTTCTCAGTATATTTTTTGCGCCTATTTTTATTACCATTTCCGAAAGGGTACTACGGTCATATAATACGGTCCATCCGGGCGGTGGAAGTGCCTTTACGGGCTCGCCGAAATGACCACCCCCGTGGCCGGGGAGATTCGTGGGAGAATTACCGTAACCCCCCGGGTGGACTGTCCCGGCGGTCTCGGCTTTATACTCCCCTGACGATGACTAGGGTTTTATGGTCGACACAAGGCGCCGGGCGTATGCAAATTAGGTCCAGGAAGTGTGCTGAAGTTTTGCAAAAGTTCCTTGGGTTACCGGCTAGGAACGACTATGGATCTGTACCAAAATCAAAAGGGGCTTCGGAGCCGACAAAATTCATTAAAAACCGCATTCTCCTCCCGATTCTCCGTTTAAAGAAATTGGGGAGACAAATTTTGATCTCGTGGGTTTGGCGCAGTCGGTAAAGGTTGAGTCTATCAAGCCAAGAGTCTCGGGTTCGACTCCCCAGACCTACAGTGGTTTTCTGCCTTCGACTCTGTCAATTCCTTATCTAATGCCAAAATGCAAACCTAATTTGCCGCCTCCCGTGGCTCAGTTGACAAAGCATTAGCCATCAATCACAAGACGCGGGTTCGATTCCCGGGACCTACAAGAATTTTGCTTTTTGATTTTTTAGTAGATTTTGATGTGCCTTTTCGATGGGCCGTAGCAAAACGCATTTCCCTTCTTCCAGGCTACAGTACCCCTCCCAGTTGTCAAAATTTTGACGTTAATTCGAATTACTAGTTAGCGAGGCCTTTGTCCCCTCAAAACCTACAGCAACGGGGCACTTTTTAAAACCCGTGCCGTGTCACAAGCCCGGGTGAACGAAGCGAACACCTGTCAAGAGATAAGTAGAAGGAGATGGGGTGGATAGGATGGAAATGGACCCCCTTCCCGGCCTGGGAATAGGCAAAAAATCCGGGAAAAGATACGGGCGGCAACCCCGGCCATTTTTCCGCGACATTCCCAGCGAACGGAAAGGCTGGGGATGACCCTGGGGGTGCAAAAGTTTTCGCAAAGTATTGACGGATCGGGTGACAAGCCGGAGCGTCAAGCTGCTCGGTTACGGTAGCTGGGGTAAGGTATAAAAAGTAGCTGCGCGAGGTCAAGGATTTTTGGTTAGCCGCTACCGTAACCCGGCGAAACTTCAGGAGTTTTTGCACCTATTTGGCGCCCTACCTACCGTAACGTTAAATACAATATACCCTTTAGAGCTAATTCTCCTATTTCGTCACCCGGGTTACCGTAATCCCAAAAAATCGTAAACGCATTTTTGGGCATTTTTGGCGCTATTTTGAGGGATAACTAGCACATCAGCGCAAGAAAAACTGGAATCTAGCGGTATCTTTTCAAAAGTAGCTTAAGAAAAGTATTTCTATGTGTTTTTTAACGCCATTTCCCGACCTATCTACCGTAACGCAGCTCGAAAACATCAGAATTATCACGCTAGCTTTTTTTGGGAGTTATTTGTCACCGCTGGCACAGTAATCCCGCTCAAAATTCCTTCAATATTGGGGCGAGCTTACTAGCCGATTCTACCGTAATCCGCAAAATTTAAAAAAAACTACCCACTACCGTAACCCAATTGCCGTATTCCAACCCTGAAGGCACTAATGTCACCCTGACCTCGGGGTGTGCCGACTCGTCATACGGTAGTCACACTCCAGCGCACCATTTAGGGCCCAAATGCCCCCGGGGTAATTTTGGCATTTCGGGGCCCAAAAAAGCGAATAGAATGGAAAGGTGGGGGGAGATGGCGATGAATCAAGGTGGTGAAAAGGTTCCCTTCAGCGCCTATTTACGGTCTAGGTAGGGCACGCGTGTCATTGGTATTCATCCCTATGTCCGGTGGAAATGGTTGAAAATTTGAAAGCGCGTAGAGCACCAGGAATTTGGACAACAACCTCTGTCTACCGTATCCATTTCCGGCTACCGTATGGTAGCGGACTTTTTGACAAGGGCGAGAAGAATTTTTGGCTTTTTATGATTTTTGAAAAAAGTTTTGAATTTTTGGCTTCAATGGCCCTTTAAGGTCCATAGATTCCATGACAATCCTCTGAACGCCTGTGTTTTGTGTGCTTCTTGTGGAGCTGGACGTACAGAACCACTTAAAATACCAGAATTCCGCGCCGTTCCTATCGACACCGTGTTTTTGTGCGTCCTAAGTCCAAGCTTTTGACTTCAGGCTCCCTTAAAGGTACACTAAAATCTCGTTGGTTTGGTTACCGGCCGGTAACCGTCCGCGGAATAGCAAACCGGGTTACGGTAGGTGCTCGCCGCGGAGCAAAACCGAACCCGCGTCACTCGACTTTAGACCACTTGGCCAAGGGACAGACGGGAGAGGGGAGAGGCAAGGGGGATTAGAAGGGTACGGGCGTTGCGCGGCAGAGGGCCCGGATTTCCGACCGCGAACTGACTTTTTGCACGAGATTTTAGTGTACCTTTAAATTCCACGACAGTCCTGTCAATACCGTGTTTCTTGAGTAATGATTTTAATGTTCACATCGTGCTCTATCTCTCACTCTCTCGCTCTCTCTCTCGCTCTCTCCCTCTCTTCCTCTCTCGCCCCTAAAGTCCAGCAGAACTCCATTTCGCCACTACTCTATATATTGGCAACCAGTGCGACCACCCGGTTCGGTCGTAAAAATGGAGGGGAACGGAGTCAGCAGTGTCTCTCTGCACGCTCTCACTTTTACACGCTCTCTCGCCGTTCCCCTTCCACTTTATAGTCGTTTTTTGGTAGTGCCGCGGAGGGGCTGACAGCCGTCCCTAGCCATCTCTCTCTCTCTCTCTCTCTCTCTCTCTCTCTCGCCCCGTTCGACCGTGTGGGGCCAGTTAGGAAAATGTTGCAAAAAACTGGCGGCGGCGGCGGCGTGGCGTACTGGGTGGTGCGGGCGGTAGGGCAAAATATAGCGGGCGGGGGACAGCAGATGGGGGATCGGCATGGAATTCCGTATTGATCCAGTTGACGGAAAGTAGTGTAAATTGGAACTTGGGTACTGTAGAGATCGGGGGACTACGCAGCAATCCAAATGACGGAACGTTTAGCCCTACTCACCATAGTATCCCAAAAAAAATCTTAAAATATGCATTATTTCCGTTGCCATACTCTTGACAACCCGATGTTTCAGTGTAACCTCGTGGAAAACCGACGATCGTTGATGGCGAAGCAGATCAAGTTGCGGCGGGATCAGCAGCGGAAACGAGCCGCTGAGGAAGCCGGAACTGCCACCGGGGAAGAGCGGCTTTTGGCTGAGGAGAAGGAGAATGATGGGATTGACGTCGAGAAGAGGGGTACGGTATTTTAGAGATTCTGTCTGTTTGTCTAAGTGTCGGTTTCTCCGCTCGCTGTCTCTCACTCACTCCCTCTCTCTCTCTCTCTCTCTCTCTCTCTCTCTCTCTCTCTCTCTCTCTCTCTCTCTCTCTCTCTTTCTCTTTCTCTCTCTCTCTCTCTCTCTCTCTCTCTCTCTCTCTCTCGGTCTCTGTACCTGTCTTCATCTTTCTCTGTCTCTCTCTCACTCTCTCTTTCTCTGTCTCTCGGTCTCCATCTCTCCCTGTTTCTCTCTTTCTCGCTAGAGATATCTCGTTCTCCCTCTCTCTCGCTCTCTCTCTTTTTCAACCTTCCCAGTCCCTTTAAAGAGACGCACAGGGCATTCCTCTGGAACTTTTTAGCTTGGTTCCCTATCGATTTTACCGCCGTCGCGACCCGCAACTCGCCCAGATCAGAACACTGGATCGGGCGTTGCGTGCCGCGGGGTAGCAAAATCCATAGAACATCCATAGTCTCATCTTCACCGCCCCTTTAATCCACGACGCGTAATTATCGGAATCCATACCCGGATGCAAATCCCCTCTCCTCCCTTCCTTCTTCTCACCTCCCACTTGAGCCCTTAGAATTGAAGTAGGCTGTCTGAAGGCCTCTTTTCTATTCCGCGCCCCTTTCCCACACACACAACACAGAGGCCCTTCTCAACCCCAAGCCAAAAACCAAAAAAAAAGTGTGCTGTGGTGTGAGGAGCGAGTGTTCGCGTCGGTTTTGTGTTCTGTTTCTGTGGGATCTCTCAATATCTTGTGATCTCTAACTCTCTGAGAGCCCTGATTAGCTCGCACAGCGCGGTAGGGGGGACGCGAATGTTTGTGGAGAGCACTTTTTAGGGGTGTCCCCGCGGCTCCGTTCACCCACCGCAGCGTTCCTCTTGGGAGGAGAGAGAGCGTGAGAGAGAGAGAGCGAGAGAGAGAGAGAGAGAGAGAGAGAGAGAGGGAGAGAGAGAGAGAGAGAGAGGAGAGAGGGGGAAAGGGACCAAAGGTGAGGCCGTAGTTTGGCCAGGACCGGAACCCAGGGATTTGGATTAAGATTTCTCTATAAACAGGGAATTACGGTAGATGGGGCGGAAATTAGGAGTCAATCGTTCCGGGAACAAGACAAGATATCGGTAATTTTTGAGAGGGAAGAGCGAGAGCGCCAGAGAGAGAGAGAGAATAAAATACATTTTCCACAGCTGTATGCTTTATTTTTCAGTGGAAAACCCGTCCACAACCGTCGTCGTCCCGAAGCCGATGCTCCCGATCGCCCCTCAGCTGACGTTGCCCTCAATTTTGCCGTCAATTTCGATGTGAGTTTAGCTCCTTGTTATCGATGTTTTAAGGTAACGGATTACGAAAGCAAAAAGCTGAAAATTTCACAATTTTTATTGACTTGACTTGAAAGTCGGCAGAAACCATAAAAAATCGGAAAAAATCAAAATATAATTTCCAGGCCCTCCTCCCTGCCGTCGAGCCCGACCTCGCTGCAACCGTCGGCCCCGGCGCCACCTCTGCTCCTCCCCTCCATCCCTCAACTCATCAGCAGCCCATCTACCGTACCCCAATTCCCCACGCCCCTCTTCCTCCAACAATTCAACCTCCAGCAGCTGCTCCTCCTCGCCAACCTTTCCAGCCAAATGACGGCCGTCACCGTACCCCAGCCATCCCCCTTCCTGCCCCCCGCCATGAAGCCGTTCATGTCGCTCTTCAATTTCCCCTCTATCCCCTTCCAGCAAAATGGGGCCCCATAAAAAATGCTGTCGAAAATTTGGGATTTTAAAGGGGCGTTGAAGGCAGAAATCCACAAAATATCGTGAATTTTTGCCTTCGCTGGCTCTTTGAAAAGAGGTGGTTACTGTAGGAATCCAAAAAAACACGAAGTCGTGGCGTAGGAAACCAAATTCCTGCTTAAAAGAAGCGGATTCTGGGGCAGCATATCGGAAACCCATGCGTAATTTGGTGTATCTCGTATTTTTCGCAAATTTCGCTACCGTAGCCTACCGTAGTCACGCGGAATTTGAAGAAATTGTGCCGTTTTTGAGCGTGAAAAGTTGAGTTCTGACCGAAAAATGCTGAGTCCGACCGTACTTAAACGAAATTTAGAGAATTTCCATTCGTCTGAAGCCTAAAACTCGGCTTCCGCGGCGATTCCAACCCAACAGTACCACCAAAAATCCCATTTTTTCCGTTTTTTTCTATTTTTACGTATTTTCCCGTGTACCATCCAATAATCCATGAACCACCTCACACCTCACACGGAATCGCAGCCCATCGCCCCCAGTCCACCACGGATTCTTGGCAACTTGCCAAATCGACCACTCCCGGCCCGATCGTGGCGGGACCCTCAGTTAGGCCTCGATTGTTTTTTATTCTACCCTCCTTTTATTTTTCTCTCTGTTTTTAAGGCGTATGCTAATTTTTTGAATTTTCTAGACCCCATTCGCGCGGCACCTGGTGCCATTTTCTGCGTTTTCTGTGTTTTTAAAGGAGTGGTGAAGCCTGAAAATTGGGTCCGAATCGATTACGCCATGAAATTTGGGATTGCCTAGAGGATTCGATCACGCGAGGTAATATCGCTACGCTACGCTGCGCAAAAACGGCGGCAAGTGTAGTCTCTCGGAATCGATTCAGCCGTGGAATTTGACGAATTCGATCACGCTAGTTAATTCCGCTACGCTACGCTCCGTAAAACAACGGCAAACGTAGCCTCTCGGAATCGATCCTGTCGTGAAATTTGACCGATTAAATGGCTACGTGACGCTCCGTAAAACCGGCGGCAAGCGTAGCCTCTCGGAATCAGGTATGCCATCAAATTCGGACCCCCAAACAACTTCACCGCCCTTAAAACTCCCCAATTTGCCCCGATGCCGTATTGTTCCGTACCCCCACCACCCCCGTGCGTGTCCAGTTATTGTGCAACAATTTTTCCATGTTTATTTTATTGATTTTTGGTCCCTTATTGCGCGTGTTGATGACGAGTCCGTTGAAGATCCCATCTTCGTGTGCCGCCAAACTTGGGGGGCTGGGTGGCTCTGGAGAGGGGTGTGGATAGGTGTCGAACGGAGTCGTGGACTTTTGATTTGGATCGCAGAGACAGCAATGATAAAATTTACTGAAATTTGGCTCAAAAATAAAGCTACGGTAGCTTACCCTAGATTCAAAATTTTAGTCAAAAAATATTGGAAAATGATAAAGTTATACCGGATTCCAAATTTTAAACTTTAACCGTAATTATCTTTTTCGAGTAATGATAAAATTTTACAAAAATTGGCACAGACGTAGTTTTTAGGTTTTTCTATATCATGTACAAATTTCACGAAAAAATATTGAAATTCGAGCGAGTTATGCTCTTTTAAAATTCGACAACCCCACACCAAGTACCCCCCAGCCCCTTTACAGCTCTCCGTCTCTCCATTTTCACGCTATCTCTCTGTTTCTGTCAAGACCCAGCCCGGCAAGGACCTAGTCCCCAAAGAGACACGTCGTAAAACTGTATTCGATTTCCATTATTACCATTATTTTCAATTTTTGGTGTTTTCTCATGTATTATTGGATTTTGTTAGTTATCTATTCGCCCATCTCGCAGCCGCGCCCAAATCGAGTACCCTCTAAAAACCCCGCGAAACGGCTCTAGCGCCCCCACACCCGGTTACAATTCCTTTTTGTCATTTTTTGATGCTTGAAATTTGAACAATTATTTTTGATTTTTGGATTATTGCTATTTCGTGTGCACCTTCCCCCGGTTAAACCAATAAACGTTTGAAAATGTAAAGGATAAGAAGCTAAGATATCGACAGCCAAAGTACCGAAAGACACAATTTAAACCACAGAAATACCGACAGACGAAAACCCGATAGTCAAAATCCCGACAGCAAGCAACCTGACAACCAAAATCCACAGCCACAATTCCCACGGCTAAAATACCGACACTCCTAATCCCGAAAAGCAAAGTGCCGATAGCCAAAATACCAACAGACAAAATCGAGTGAGAAAAAATACCGACAAAAAATTTCGAAGGCTGAGATCGCGACAGCGTATCTCGACATGCAAAGCATCTGTTTAAAAGGAAGTGGCCAAGCTAGCTAGCGGCAAGGATATGTTGGGATTATGGCCGTTGGAATTTTGACTGGAAATCCAATCTAAAAGCTCTTTTTTCCATTTTTTTTACTAATCGAAACTTTTTTAAAAGTCCACGTGAGCACAGATTATTCGCGGAAGCTGTAGTCTACTGTATTCTGTAGCCGAAAGTCTATAGTCTGTTTTCGCCGTTGTTCAGCTGTGTTCATGGCCAGCTAGCATAGGAATTTGGGGAACTGCCCTAGAGTTTGTCTTGCCTTTAACCGAGTTTTTCAAGTTTTTGTAATTTGTAGTTACGAACCGGGCATGCTAGCAACGTCTATTTAGGAATTGGGTTTTCGTAGTTTGCATCCGGTTGTCGGGGCCGGGAGTGATTTTTTGGAGGCCCAACATGCAGCTTTGCTGGCAGTTTGTAGCTCAACTTTGTGGTCTGTATCCGTAGCGTACTGTAGCTGTCGTTCGTAGTCTGTAATCTGTATTTCAGCCACCCCCTAACCTGGTTGTAGCCACCCATAATCGTCGGCGTAGATAGCAGGGGTTTTGGATAGCTATGTAGCCTGTAGTTTTATTCCATAACCTGTAGTCTGTAGTCTGTCGTGCATGAATTTTGCTAGACCTAAATAGTAAGTTAGCAATCATCATCTTCGGCTGGACTCGGCGTCTAGCAGCGGTTTTTGGCGGGAAATCTATAGCAAGTAGACTGTAGTCTGTGGTATGTAGTCGTAGCTTATAGCCTGTAGCGAACAGTTCATAAACTACAACCTACTTCCTAGCCCGGCATGCTAGCATCAATCATTTAAGAACCCTCCCATCTATAGTCCTCCTCATCAAAAATGTCGAACCCGATACCCCCACGTAACCCCCCCCCACCCCGAACCCATAAATATACCTCCCAAAAAAATCAGTGGCCCCAGCGCCGGGGTTTAATGTATATATGGGGGCGTGTGTGTCACTTTTTGCTGTGGCCTCCGTGATCGTGGCGGGACCCCCCACGACGACGCTACGATACAATTTACGAGCCGACCATGTGTGCCCCGCGGAGGGCGGTAGAAAAAGCGTGGAAAATGTGGGGGTACCCGCCATTCCGTGCCCTCAGGGGTAGAGAGCGAGAAAGAGAGTGAGAGAGAGAGAGAGCTGTCGAAAATTGTGGCCCTCGGTTTGCTTGGGGGAAGTTGATTTATTCGAGGCCTACGGTGGAAGGGAGGGTGGAAACTGGAAAGAAGTGTACTCGGAGGGTTGAGGGGGCGAGAATAAAGATATTTTAAGATAAATCCTATATTTTCAAGGATTTTAAAGGCCAAAATCCAGCCCTAAAGGGATCCGGACGGCTGAATTTCATGTCGTAACGCGTCTAGAGGACGAAATTTGTGCCAAAAGCCGGTGTTCGATAGAAATGCTACTATCACTACGTCGGGCTCCTCTCGACGCGTCGTACTACCGTAATCTGGGTAGATCGGAGTCGCGACGTTTTAAAATGCTATAGTTTCTATTCATAATCGCCTCATTTTCCCTGCCTCTATATGCTATCGCTCTCCCTCTCTCTCTCTCTCTCTCTCTCTCTCTCTCTCTCTCTCTCTCTCTCTTTCTCTCCCATCCCTCTATCTCCGTCACTCTCTATCTACCTCTGCATGGCTAGCTATCGCTCTCCCTCTCTCTCTCTCTCTCTCTCGCTCTATCTCTCTTAAAATACCCCAATTTCCTAATACCCACTACGACCGACTCCGATCCACAAAAACCGACAGCAGCCGAAACGTGAGTGCCAGCGGGGGGTTTGGATGGCCACCGGAATGGCTTCTACCCCCAAAAACGCCAGGGCAGCACCGGCGGCCGAAAAAAGTGGCAGTTGGCCTCCGCGCACGGCTCAATGGGGGTGGCCGGCGAGGGGAAGGGGAAGGCTAAAAAGCGGATGAAAAAGCGCGCTTTATAGCCATCGAACCCCCCTATACCCTCTGCGAAGGCCACCCACATTGTAGCCATCCGGCTGAGGTTGGGAAATCGGCCATTCTTTCCAAAGATTTCTTATGGAGCTGAAAACTGGGGACCAATTTCCTGAAGCGGAAATTCGGGGGGAATTTGGGCATGTGGGGATACTGTAGCTGGTATACGGAAATCGGCAAAGGTCTAAATTTTTCTTTCTGACTTAAAAGTACGATGTAGCGTCAATTGGATTGTCCCGGAATCCGGAACAAAAACGGAAATTTCGTCGGAAAGGTCGAGCTACATCGTGCCGTTTGACCGGCTACTTTAGGCGCCTGGAGTGGTGAATACCATAACGATTAAAATTCGTTGATGAAGCTACACCGTCAATTGGAGCCTTCCGGAATGGAAAAGCACGCGTATCGCTGGGAATTCCGAACGGATACATATACGGCAGCGGCGCAAGTTGGAAATGTGTATATTGCTGAAGCTGTAATGAAGAAAATACCAAAATGGAATTCCGGTCAGGATGAGGCGCTTCCGGAAATTCGGAAAAAACCTGTCTGACTGTAAAGTGTTTTTACTCAACTTGAAGTTTCGATTCGGGACCAAGTGCATCTTGTACAGAATTTTTCGCTGATTCCGACTATGTTTTCCAAATTTGCTACGGACCGTTATTCTGAAAGTTATACGGTAATTATGAACCTAGTTTTAACCAAAATGAAGGTATCGTTATAGTTTTCGATTTTCTTCATTAATTTCAACGTCAAAATTGACTAGGCGTTGGCTCGACAAGCATCCTACAGCTCAAAACAAGCATTTTAGATATAAAATGAGATTTTTATGCAAAAAGCAAAAGGGATGATGCAGGGCGGGGGTTCGAACCGCCGCCCTGCGCTTGGCAAGCGAGTACTTTGCCAAGGCACCATGGTGCCAACTGGGTAGGGTGCTGTCAGAGGGTACTTCAGGGCCCCTGGGAACCATAGCACCAAACAAGGAATAGTGGGCCAGCGTCTGAATTTTTGGCATTTTTCGGCCTAATTGTTACCAAAAATGATTTTTTAAATAAAAGTCCGTAGCAAATTTGGAAAACATATTCGGAATCAGCGAAAAATTCTGCACAAGATGCGCTTGGTCCCGAATCGAAACTCCAAGTTGAGCAAAAACACTTTACAGTGAGCCTAGGTCTAAGCCTAAGCCTATGCCTATGCCTAAACCTAAGCCTAACTAGAAGTAAGCCTAAGTCTACATAAGCCTAAGCCTCAGCACGCGCGGAAAAATCTGTCCTGCTTCGCGTCAATTGGCGCGTTGCGTAGGTACGCGAACCTTACGTATAGGCGCGACGACTAAGCTACGGTACTGTGGACAGTGATAAAACAGCACAAGCAAAAGCAACAACGCGTGGCCGATTGCAAAGAGTATCGAAGTGGAAAGTATTTTGCTAATTTAAAAAATCCTCAAAATACAAAAGTACATTTTCTGCGCTCTCGACCCTTTTCCCTACCACACGCCGCGCACTTCCTCCGTGTTTTTTCGTGCACTTTTTCGGGGGGCTGAGGTGAGTGAGGGTGAGTGGTGTTGTTGGGTAAAGGGGGGAATGGCGTGTGTTGCATTGTGAACAATGTTTGACGGTGGTCCCCGAGAATGACAGAATGAGAGGATTTGAGAACGAGAACCTAGAGACCGAGAAAAGGAGGATGGTTTGGCCCTGGCCCAGCATTGTCCTATTCAACCCCGAAAAAAAGCGGAAAACCCCCTGGAGGCGAGTGAGTCAAATGCGGGGCGAGGAGGCACAGATCAGAAACCGTTACCCGATTTCTTTTACAGGAAGGGGTTGAGAAAAATATCAGCCGGACTAAAATTCGAGCTTTGAGGCAAAAAGCAAAACTTCTACCCCGCGCGGGAGTCGAACTCGGGTCGTGTAGGCAAGGGGCTGACACACTACCAATACGCTAGACTTTCCGGTAACTTTCCGGTTAAAAAAATTTTTTCGTGTTTTCACAGGCTTGGTAAAGTATTTGGTAGCACGGCAATACCAGCGGTAAAAGATTTACAGTAAAACCAGCCAAACTAGGTAGATAGCGTTTTACATGTTTTGAATACGAAAATTCAATACCACCGTGAATACATTGAAAGTTGCGTGCCTCACCCCTAGAATCCCTGTTTCAAGCTCTGCTCATTCCACTCGACAGCAGCTCGAGGATGGCGACCGCCGGCCGAAAGTGAGTTTTCCTCGAAATTCAAGAAATTTGCGCTTTTTTCTAGCGGCTGCATCCGTATCATCAGCCCACCACCAGCCCCCGCCGCGGCCAGCCAGACATTGAGGCAATTTAATTTAACCAGATCGCTCTCTCTCTCTCTTTCTCTCTCACTCACTCGCCTCAAACCCTCAATTCTTTAGCCGTTCGCTGTTCTCGCCTCAGCCCATCGTCGTGTCTCTGAACGGATTGTCGGAGCATTCGACCGGCCCGCCGTCCCCGTCCTTCGACATTCTCAGCATGGAGATGGAGGACAACTTGCGGTCCGTCTACTTGTTCCCTAAACCCTCACTTTTTAATCGTTTGCCTCCTCCGGGCCAAAGAATCCGGGGTACTTTACTGTTAGCGGGGGGGGGGGCTTTGCCTCCTCAGGGTCTAAAATTGTGCCCAGTTCAGTGACCTCGCGATGACGCCGTACCCCGAGAAGCCGGGCCGCCACACTGCCGGCTCGTCGGCCAGCGACCGCTCGGTGAGCCGCGAGTCGGCCGGCAGGAACCGCCCGGAAGGTTGTCTCCGCGGCCGCTCGCAATACAACTCGCGTTCCACCTCTCGCTCAAACAGCCGCTCTCGTGGTGCCAGCGAGAGCCGCAAAAGCCTCAGCCTCAGCCCTCGTCAAGCCGGCAGCCGCAGCCGCAGCTCGTCGGGCAGCAGCCGGAAGGTGAATACCGGAAAAAATTTGTATGAATCTAGGAATGCCTAGTAACTTCATAGGAAGTAATTTTCATAACGAATTCTCCCCCCCCCCCTCCCCCGATAATGCGAAAGAACCAGAGCGCCTTTCGTTTTCTCTTCCAAAATACCCCCGATAAATTGCAGGTCTCGTTCCGCGAGCCGTTGACGAACCCCGACATCCCCCTCGGCGGCCACTGCTCGCTGTACGCGGGTGTCCAGGTGTCGGCGCGAAGCCCGAGGAGCGCGCGCTCCACGGTCAGCAACCACAGCCGTCGCCCGTCGCGCACCCTCAGCCACAGCACGCCGACGGTGGGGGAATTTGTTGTTCGTCGGTAAAGTCTGTTTTTGCTTTCCCCCCCTGTTTTACCATTTTTTGGCCCAAAATTTTTTTTTCCAGGCCGATTAAAACATTTTCATATACCTTACTGTCTTCGCTGTACGTAAAATGTTGGTTACCAGAAATATAAGCCAATCGGGGCTGAAAACTGCCCTAATAAACCTTTTTTAAAGGAACAGCAATGAAACACCACCCTACCAGACCCACCTTTCAAAAAACAATTATTCAACCCAAAATTAACCCCACTGTACAGAGCCCGATGCGCAAGAAGCTCCCCTACCACGATCGCAAGACGCGCCGCGAGGTGCTTCATAAGCAAACAGATTGAGCATGAGCTGCTGATCATTCAGATTCGCCGGGAGAATCAGCAGCTCAAGCTGAACCCGCCCGCCTCCGCGCCGCCCAACGGCCAGGTGGTGATCCAGATGCGCAAGTCGCAGTTGAGCAGCCTGCTCGCCCGGCTGGCTGCCGATGACGACGACACGCTCGTCTCGATCTTTGTGGACAAGGACAAAGTGGTGGGGGAGCTTCGAAAGGAAAACTTTATTTTTTTCGCATTTTCTTGTGCCCGAATTTCCACTGGTGCTTCTCTCTTAGCGAGGGGGGGGGGGCGGGGCCAATTTTTGCCCAGTCCGTACGCCATCATAAAATATCATTTTTCAGTGCTCTTAGCTATAGCCCAAGCTCCTAAAAACTCGCAAATTTTGTCTTTTTGGTCCAAAATCTACAAAAAAACTAGCTGTAGTCGCAAACCAGAAATTGCCCCCTCTCCCGCCACAAAAAGCGAAGCACCTTTCAATGCGCTAAATTTTGAACACGCCGAAAATACTGGGTTCCGCTGTTAATTTTGCGCGGAGTTGCAACGTGTAAAACGATATCGTTAAAATGTAAACAATTCTTCAGCTGACCCGCCAACAGTACACGGCCATGAAGAAGAAGAACCCGCCCGGCTTCTTCTAAATCTTTTACATCCCACCGCTCCAACCCATCACATGCAATCGCTTAATTTTCGCTATTCGACTCGATTTTTTCTTCTTCTTCGTGTAACAATTCAAATATGATCCTGCCTGGACAGACCCTCGTGCTCCACGCATCTGTGTAATTGTGTGTAATAAACGAATTTATGACAACAGTGGCTAAAATAAAGCATTAAACGGTTATTACGAGAGGGTGGCGGTGGGGAAACAACAAAGATTGGGGAGGAAGCGTGTGGAAAACGGGAAGAAGTCATGCTCAGGGCGAAAATCCTTAGAAGTGGAGCTCAGTGCGAAACAAATACGAGAAAAATGATTAGAAGTGGAGCTCAGTGCGAAACAAATACGAGAAAAATGATTAGAAGTGGAGCTCAGTGCGAAACAAATACGAGAAAAATGATTAGAAGTGGTGTTCAGTGCGAAACAAATACGAGAAAAATGATTAGAAGTGGAGCTCAGTGCGAAACAAATACGAGAAAAATGATTAGAAGTGGAGCTCAGTGCGAAACAAATACGAGAAAAATGATTAGAAGTGGAGCTCAGTGCGAAACAAATACGAGAAAAATGATTAGAAGTGGAGCTCAGTGCGAAACAAATACGAGAAAAATGATTAGAAGTGGAGCTCAGTGCGAAACAAATACGAGAAAAATGATTAGAAGTGGAGCTCAGTGCGAAACAAATACGAAAAAAATGTTTAGAAGTGGAGCTCAGTGCGAAACAAATACGAGAAAAATGTTTAGAAGTGGAGCTCAGTGCGCAACAAATACGAAAAAAATGATTAGAAGTGGAGCTCAGTGCGAAACAAATACGAAAAAAATGATTAGAAGTGGAGCTCAGTGCGAAACAAATACGAGAAAAATGATTAGAAGTGGAGCTCAGTGCGAAACAAATACGAAAAAAATGATTAGAAGTGGAGCTCAGTGCGAAACAAATACGAGAAAAATGATTAGAAGTGGAGCTCAGTGCGAAACAAATACGAGAAAAATGATTAGAAGTGGAGCTCAGTGCGAAACAAATACGAGGAAAATGATTAGAAGTGGAGCTCAGTGCGAAACAAATACGAGAAAAATGATTAGAAGTGGAGCTCAGTGCGAAACAAATACGAGAAAAATGATTAGAAGTGGAGCTCAGTGCGAAACAAATACGAGAAAAATGATTAGAAGTGGAGCTCAGTGCGAAACAAATACGAGAAAAATGATTAGAAGTGGAGCTCAGTGCGAAACAAATACGAAAAAAATGTTTAGAAGTGGAGCTCAGTGCGAAACAAATACGAGAAAAATGTTTAGAAGTGGAGCTCAGTGCGCAACAAATACGAAAAAAATGATTAGAAGTGGAGCTCAGTGCGAAACAAATACGAAAAAAATGATTAGAAGTGGAGCTCAGTGCGAAACAAATACGAGAAAAATGATTAGAAGTGGAGCTCAGTGCGAAACAAATACGAAAAAAATGATTAGAAGTGGAGCTCAGTGCGAAACAAATACGAGAAAAATGATTAGAAGTGGAGCTCAGTGCGAAACAAATACGAGGAAAATGATTAGAAGTGGAGCTCAGTGCGAAACAAATACGAGGAAAATGATTAGAAGTGGAGCTCAGTGCGAAACAAATACGAGAAAAATGATTAGAAGTGGAGCTCAGTGCGAAACAAATACGAGGAAAATGATTAGAAGTGGAGCTCAGTGCGAAACAAATACGAGGAAAATGATTAGAAGTGGAGCTCAGTGCGAAACAAATACGAGAAAAATGATTAGAAGTGGAGCTCAGTGCGAAACAAATACGAGAAAAATGATTAGAAGTGGAGCTCAGTGCGAAACAAATACGAGAAAAATGATTAGAAGTGGTGTTCAGTGCGAAACAAATACGAAATTTCTGCCATGTTTCCCTATTCCTAACCGTTTTCCGCCCATTTTTGACTGCTGGGCCCTCCAAATGCCGACTGCCGGACTTGCCCCGACGACTCCACCCCTGTCGGTGCGTGACTCTTGCTGACCCCCGGAAACCTTTCAAAGGGCCTTTAAGGATTTCCACCATGTGGATGTGCTCCTGACACTCAAGCTTGCGGAAAGCAAAGGCCGTAACAGTAGCAGTATTTTATCAGTATCTATCGCAGATAAGAGAAAAACACAGAAAACAGAGAAAACTAGAACAGACAGAAAAATAAGACGTCGGACAGGTTTTTTTGCCAGTGGCGCTCACTTCTTCGTAGCTTCTTGCATCTTCATATCCTGAATTATGGACTTGGTTGTGCCGAATAACTATCTCTCTCTCTCTCTCTCTCTCTCTCTCTCTCTCTCTCTCTTTTCTTACCTTCTGCGGAACCCGATAGCCCATCGCAATCCAGGTCGGGTACTTGCAAAAATTGCAAAGTTCTGAAAGTAAAGCAAGGAAAAGCAAGGAAGACTACTATTTGGGAAACAGCCGGCCCCTGCACATTGCGCCGGGCTGTTGACGAGCCTCTTGGTGGCTGTTCTGAAAAAGTGGGCATTCGTCAACTTTCTTTAGAAATCCATAAATGTGTATTTGGATAAGGAAGGAGCGGCAATAGCGGTGCAAAATGGTTCGGGAGCGCCTGCCGACACATCAGAATTAAGAAAAAACTGCAGTTTTTATCATCGGCATCCCGGAAAAACTTAGCAACGTGTAAGCGGCCTTGGGTCCTAGCTGGCAACAGGGTTCAAAAACCCTGATGCCCTTTTTGCCACACATTCTCCTTTTGAATTTAAAACAAAAACATTGAATCCACGACGCACCGGAAGGCGTTCTGGCACGGCTCGCAGCTCGGTGGGCCGTATTGCGTAAAGATCACCTTGAGACCCTTCTCGGGCCCGCAACGAGTACAGATACCGTACACCTGTCAGGAATTGTGGTTACTGCAGACAGCCTAAAGATGGACCTGCGTCTGCTGCGGCCTTCCGCGCCCGCGCGTAGTCTTGGCCTTGGCGCGCTGGAACACGAAAAATGTCCGAAAACTGTCGGGTTTTTTGCGTAGTTGCGTGGTCGTTCGAATGTCACTTCTTATCGGCCAAATCTGTTACGGCGAGGCTTAGTCTCAATGATAGGTCCCGCTCTCTCTCTCTCTCTCTCTCTCTCTCTCTCTCTCTCTCTCTCTCTCTCTCTCTCTCTCTCTTTCTCTCTCTCTTTCTCTCTCTCGCTCTCTCTCTCTCTCTGTCTCTCTCTATCTCTCTCGCTCTCTCTATCTGTAATTCTCTCGCTCTCTCAATCTTTCGCTCTCTCTCCCTCGTTCTCTCTCGCTCTCTCTCTCACTCTCTCTCGCTCACTGGCTTGGCTCCAAAAATTTGCGGGCGACGGTGAATCGAGCGTATGTGTATCTATGTCTTTATAAATTTTGTATGTGAAGTGTTTCAAATGTTTTCCTGACGTCATTTTTCCAGGTTTATTCCCCACGAGCATCTTGGCACGACGGCCACCGAACATAGACATGAATGAGATGGCCACCGAACATCGCATGAATGAGAAGAGAAGGATACATGCTCCATACGACACAAAGGATCAAATATCAAAGGCACAGGCAAGCGAATATTGTGTGGGTTAGTAGGGCACTGTCGGGCCATCGAGTCATCGCCGGAGATTCACTATAAAAGTTGCGTCAAAAAGAGCCGATGGCACTTCGACCAATTTAATTTCATTTCTGTGACTGCTTTTTAATTTGCTGATAATACGAATATAAAAAACGGCGGAGTTCAGGGAATTTCGTGGCCCACAACCGCCCATGGGTTCGGCCCCGATGGCTCCCGGGAAAAGGCGTACTGTACGGGTTTGCCTGGGGCGCGAAATAGCAGCATGATTTTAGCTGCGCAGGCTTGCTTTCGCAATTGCGCGACGCGTCTATCGCACGCGTTGCGGTCTTTCTTGGTTTCCAATTCTACCGGACGTTTTATTAGGCGCCGGGCCGCTGTGGGCCGTAGGCCGTAGGCTAATTTAATAGCGTAACGAATCCGCGCGCCCGATTCACCGCGTGCCGCGCAAATGCTAGTGAGGTTAAGGGAAAAAGGCTACGTATGAAAAATGTCCAAAAAGGTCAAAATGTCAAAATTTACCAAATTTGTAAAAATAGTTTTGATACCTTTCGAATGGCATTTGCAAAATAGCGACAATATTGAAAAACCCGAAAATCGACCTCTATTGAAAGACTAGACTAGAAAAAATATCTAAAAACTTCAAAAAATTCAAAAAATCGAAATTTTGTTAAAAACCGCAATTTAGGAGTCGAGAAATCGATATTTTTGTGTATCTTTATAAAGATTGGGAAAGTTTTAACGTTTAGACATAGTAGAAAACAGTTTAGAACGCCTACTGCTAGTCATATTTGAAAAATTGGTCCCTAACTACTAGTAAGGAAAAATTTATCTCCCCCCCCCCCCCCCCCCCGATAATGCAAAAGAAACGATTGCCGTTTGGGGGTCGCCCACCTTCTTCTCGTCACCGCTTTTCGGCTTTTCCGGCTTCGGGCTTGGCTGTTTTCCGTTCGAACTGGCAATAGAATTCACGTTGTCATTCTCTCCGTGGTATTTGCTCTTCGGGCTGTCGAAGGCGCCCCGTACTTCGGAAATGTTTGTGACTGATGAGCGGCCGGTTGAGGGGGTCATGCTCCTGAAAAATCTAGATGAAATCACAGAACCCAAGTGGTTGCACCGGCCAAAAACCCAACAATTCCGGTGCTGGACTATTAGCGGGGGGGGGGGGGAGGTTTTCTGTCGGAGGAACTAGTTTCTATCTTCCCGCCGTTTCTTTCGCATGGGGGTGGGGGCAACTTTTTTCTTAAGACCTCACTTTTCAAATCTAAATAGTCGCAGTGTTTCTAAATGGATTTTTGCTATTCCTAAACGTGCAAACAAATCTTTATTAAAAACATTATCGTCGGGTTTTCGACCAAAAAAGGTCGATTTTGACCAAAATTTTACTTTTTCAAAATTTTTAAAGTTTTTCTATAGTTTTTCTAGTTTAAATAGTTATATTGCTAAAAACACTATAAAAAGTGTCTATTAACGTACTAGGCATTGCTAGACTTATACAAAAAAGCTTAATTTTCAAAATTTGAAAATTTTAGCCGTTTTTGGCCATTTTTGTGCGAAAGCTTTTTTCAATATTTTATACCGAAAAACTGTGTGAATGGCTTGGAAAAATCGTTTATTATCCGTTATATATCGGGTCGTGCGCAATTACTGGGAAAAATTAGTTTTCCGCCCCAGCTAAACGCCTCCCCCGGTAACAGCCAAGTACCAAAAATCTTCCCACTTTTCAAGCGAGATGGCCGTAGTAGTTGAGGAAGGTGTAGCAGGTCGGACAGCGGTCGTTGCGGAGGCCGTGGAGGGACAGCAGCTCGCGGTGTTCTGCAAGATAGTGGTTATCCTTTTGCTTAGGCGCTGCTCCATTCGTCAGCCCGGACTTCGCATGTTTTTACTATAGCTATTTTATACAACAACCCGAATTCTTTCTAACAAAAAGGGTTTCACAAAAACTTAAATTAAATATCGAAAATGTCGACTTTTTAAAAGCCTGATAGGTTTATAGTCATCCCCATGCCGTTACGAACCAAATGACGGTGGGGGGAGGGGGGTAAAGTAAGGTATTGCCGCTTGCTCCTTTCCTCCCTACCTCATCCTCCCGCTGAGGCCCAGTATCCGGGGCCGCGACGACGGCAGTAGCAGAAACAAACTTGGCCGGCTTCACCTCACCGCGTTGTTGTTCGCGGTCGGCCTAGTAATCGGATATAGCATGCTTTCATACCGTTTTGAGTACGTCGTAACTACAGGGTGTCCCAATAAAAAAGGTCACGCTGGCATTTTGCTATTTCAAATCCGATCGACTTGAAATTTTGCACAGAGGTGCGGAAGGGAATTCAAAATATTCACAGAAACTTTCAGCCCGATCGCTACAGTAGTTTTCGAGTTATAGCAAAAATAAACTTTATTTTACGTTTTTAACCTGGATTTCGCCGGAATTGAGCCCTGGAATATATGGAGAAAATGCAGCGCCGAGCCTTTTTTATCCTAGGAATTTTTTTATTTCGCAAAATTCGGGTCGAAAATAGGCTATTCAAGTATTTTTTAACAAGGGCTAACTACGCCGATGTTAAGAAGAATAAGGGATTTAGAGCCGGAAATTTATGTTAATTGATGGAAAGTCCAAAAAGATAGCCGAAAAAATGACGCTAAAGTGTGGGAAAAACAGTATTTTTACAATAACTCGAAAACTACTGTACCGATCGGGCTGAAAGTTTCTGTGAACATTTTAAATTCCCTTACGCACCTCTGTTCAAGATTTCAAGTCGATCGGATTTGAAATGGCGAAATGCCAGCGTGACCTTTTTTATTGGGACACCCTGTATATTTAAAGTAGAAACACTTTTCAAGAAAGTTAGCAAAATGTTTGAAAAAACAAGCGGGTCGAAAAATCAACGCAACGATTACATACATTTTTGACCAATGGCTTTCCGTGCGTACCGAACTTCGAATTTAATTTTTTCGCATAGTAATCGAATTTTTCCAGGACATGTGAATTTTGGTGCAAAATTTGAAATTTTCTGAATGTCGGCATTTTGAAAGTAAGCCTACAAAGCAGTACCGGGTGGGCAATCTTCATTGGCTTTTCGGGGCCTTCAATCGTCGGCTCCACTGAAGCTTCATTCAAAATAATCTTGGCAGTCTTCGGGCGGAAAATGTTGGTGACGGAGCGGGTCTGAAAAGGTCGTCAACGATATTTATCGGCGGAACCGAAAAGCAGAGAAGCACGAATGCGCGAACAAGAGAGAGAGCGAGAGAGAGAGAGAGAGAGAGAGAGAGAGAGAGAGAGAGAGAAGCCTACCTTTCCACTCTTCTCGACGGAATGTTCTTGCAAAATATGCGCCCAGATTCGCTTCTGGATATGACCGAAACCCTCGACCTGTATTCGGAGTGTACAAAGATATCATTGACACTTGACCTTCTCTTGATGTCCCCGAACGACCTTCCGTTGCTCGAGGACGTGTTTGTTCATCGACTCGAGCTGAATTCTTTGATATATCCTGCGTCGCCGCCTAACTCTCTCAAATTGCCTGCGTTAGCCAAAAAAAAGTCCCACCGCATCGTTGACAGAGGCGATTTCCTCCACAGCCTTGCTCAGCCGATTCTTCTCAAGATCGACCAGTGTGAAGAGGTGGCCGAGCGCTGCGTCGTAAATCTAGAATATTGGTTCTTCCGCATTATCGGGGGAGAGGGCATCGGGGGCGAAAACAAATATTTCCCTGAGGACCACAACTGCCTCGTAACGTAAGTGTTCTCAACTAGAGTGTTAAATTTCAACTAGAAAAACTACAGACAAGGCGAAATTTTGGCAAAAAAAAGTAATAAAAAACCTTTTCAGAAAGTCAAAAGTTCATGCGATGAAGGGCCAAAAAATTCACTAAAAGCCGTTTTAACCAAAAAAACTCCCCCCCGCTATGATATGTGTACTGAAACTATCAATCCGAAAATGCGATAACGCCTTGATAACCAACCTTGAATAGAGCATCGGGTTCGAGGGCAGCATGTGCACGAGCGCGTTCAAGGGCCCTCTTTTCCGCAGAATGCCATTCTGGTTCCGTGGCGAAATCCGGTAAGACATCATGGCCTGATACCTCGCATGGCTGAAATGGCAAGTCAATCCGGATGCGGGGACCGAATTTCTTTGTCAAAGTCTAGAAATGCTTAGTAAGTTAATAGACAGTAGTGCGTCTTTGATATAATATAACCATATTTAACTAGAAAAACTATCTGAAGGCCTTTTAAAATGTTGAAATCGATATTGTTGATGTTTTTTCATAAAAAATGTGTAAAGCTTTCACGTTTAGGCATAGTAGAATAGAAAAATTCCATAAAAATTTACAAACGAATCCGCTATTTATTGAGCAAGATCTAGGATGTCCGTCGAAAAAATCCCCGCATACTCAAGATCCCAGAATTTCGATAAAATACATATGATTTGCCAGATTTAGCCAGAATTAATTTGCCGTTTCATAGTGAAAAGCATTCCTTAAGCCATTTCGGCCAAATTTATCGAAAACCGCCCCGTAAATGCCAAAATAAAGCATATTTTTGAAGCAAATTGCAGAGATCCCCAAATTAAATTAAAAACGAAAAGTATTTTCGCAATAGCTTTAAAACCCGTGGGCCGATCCGGCTGAAACTTTCCTTTTTCATCGAAAATTGCCTTCACTACCACTGAGCAAATCTTTTTGGAACACCCTGTATACACGACATTTTGTTCGTACCGTCACACCCGGACGAGGGCGTGTCGACTTGATGGGGCGCCCTTGGTCCCTCAGACGTTGGTCCAACTCGGTCCACATTTTCAGCAACTAAAAACAGCCATAGCTCAATCCCTAACAAAACTAGCCTCTTTCTCCTGAATTCGCTCTCCGTCTATCGTCATCTTGGCCAATACCATGACAAAGATGAGCTGAAAATGCGATGTGCTATACAAATAGGGGCTTCTTTTGGCAACCTTTTTTTCTTAGTACCGAATTTTACAAATATGACCTAAGTGGGCGTGTTTCTAAGCGGGTTTTTTACTATTCTTAAGCCTAAAAACTTTACAAATTCTCATTGAAAACACACCAAAAATATTTGACCGATTTTTCACCAACATTCCATTTTTTGACAGTTTTAGATTATTTTTGGCCGAAAAATCTATAATTTTTTGTATTTTTTTATTAAAAATTGGTAGATTTCGCTCTCCGAGCGATAGACAAGAACGTTTAGCCTCACTTCCGCTATTTACAACTCAAAAATTGGATTCTATGAATCATAGGAAGTGCCATCTGTTGCCGCTTGCTGTCCCTCACCTCCTCGTAAAAAGCAATGTGCGACGCGTGAGAAGAGAACGAGTTTCTTGTCCACCGGCCGAAAATACGGCGGGCCACTTCAACGTTATTGTCCACGTTCTCCTGGAAAGACAATTGAAAGGCCATCCCATTTCTTAAAGGAATTAACGCAGTTTTCAGATATAACATTCTGAAATTTCCGAAACTTCTGGAATTTTTGTACAAAATTTTGTGAATTGCCCTAAAAATACATTATATATAATCCTACGGCACTAAAACGGGGAAAAACAAAAATTCGTTTTCCCTTGCGAACAGTCGAGTAGCGGTATTTCCATCGTGTTTTTCATAGTTTGCGTTTGATAAGCGGTTTATAAAAATATTCCAAAAGTGTAGTTTTGCAAATTTTGAACTATTGGGTGGCATTGCAGAGGTTTTTGACAGAAAGGGCAAAATTTTTCCCCTGTTGAGAATTTAAATATATCTTTTCAATATAAGACCGAAAATTTCGACTGACGGTCGAAAATACTATTAACACGGTTTTTGTGGACTAGAAGGCAGTACGGGATCGCTGGGACGAAGTAGATTTGCGCCTGCTACAAAACTGTCGAGAAAGCCTACATCATTGGACTCTTCATCTTCAGCGGCACGCGGGAACTCGATCACTTCGGTCTCGATGATCGACTGCAGGACCTGCAAAATGGAACTACAAAATATAGCCCGGCCTTTCCACTAGATGACGGCCTTCGTTTGCCTTTAAAAACAAATATCGATCTTCGCGCACAACTTCAATGCTTGTTTTCCATTGCTTTTCCACTTTTAATATGGTTTAAATTTGATATTAAACCACGATGGTATACTACACCACGCACAGTACGCTAGCACCGTCCGGTACGGTAGTCAGCTACGCAAGTCCTTTCTACAAAATTCCGAACATCATGACTTCATATTTGCTTTAATGATACCGACCCTCACAGAGTCTTTGGAACTCGTATCCTGGGAAGAGTCCGAAGTCGAATCTTTGTTGCCAGCAGATGTACAATGGCCGGGCAGCCCCGAAGAGCTCATCTAAACAAGCTTCAATATATATGGAAAAAAACCCTTCATAGTTGCTTTAATGATACCGACCCTCACAGAGCCTTTGGAACTCGTATCATGGCAAGAGTCCGAAGTCGAATCTTTGTTGCCAGCAGATGTAAAATGGCCGGGCAGCCCCGAAGAGCTCATCTAAACAAGCTTCAATATATATGGAAAAAACCCTTCATAGTTGCTTTAATGATACCGACCCTCACAGAGCCTTTGGAACTCGTATCATGGCAAGAGTCCGAAGTCGAATCTTTGTTGCCAGCAGATGTACAATGGCCGGGCAGCCCCGAAGAGCTCATCTAAACAAGCTTCAATATATATGGAAAAAAACCCTTCATAGTTGCTTTAATGATACCGACCCTCACAGAGCCTTTGGAACTCGTATCATGGCAAGAGTCCGAAGTCGAATCTTTGTTGCCAGCAGATGTACAATGGCCGGGCAGCCCCGAAGAGCTCATCTAAACAAGCTTCAATATATATGGAAAAAAACCCTTCATAGTTGCTTTAATGATACCGACCCTCACAGAGCCTTTGGAACTCGTATCATGGCAAGAGTCCGAAGTCGAATCTTTGTTGCCAGCAGATGTAAAATGGCCGGGCAGCCCCGAAGAGCTCATCTAAACAAGCTTCAATATATATGGAAAAAAACCCTTCATAGTTGCTTTAATGATACCGACCCTCACAGAGCCTTTGGAACTCGTATCATGGCAAGAGTCCGAAGTCGAATCTTTGTTGCCAGCAGATGTACAATGGCCGGGCAGCCCCGAAGAGCTCATCTAAACAAGCTTCAATATATATGGAAAAAAAAACCTTCATAGTTGCTTTAAAGTTGAATTTCTTTGACCACCCATGGATAGAGCGCGGAGGGTTGCGTACCAAGGCGCAGCAAGTGGTTTACCTTGTTTATCCGACGTCTATTACGCAGCACTTTGCTGGAGTTCTCGCGACGCTTCGACTTTCGGCCCGTGGCTCGCCGACGGGCGCATCCGACGAGGACGGCCACGTGGAGGAGTGTTGTAACGAAACAGAGAGAGCTGAAGGGCAGCATGGTAGCTTCGACCATAGACAGAAAAACTACTCCCGCAGCCCCCGAATGAATGGCGGTAAGATTCTGATTTCGCGAATTCCAAGTAGGGTATGCACATTTGGCTACGGTTTACTTTACCCAGAATTTTTGATAGTTTTGCTATATTAGCGGGGGTTTTCCCGACGCCATTCGATTCAGCATCGAAAAATATACTTAAAAATGTTTATAAATATAAATTGTGATCACAATCACTAATCGATAAATCATACGCACATACACTAATCGATAAATCGCCCAAAAAAATGGGGCTACCAGGATATAAGGCAAGCGGAAGAATTTTCGGACCGAGCCGAAAGGCATTTAGCGGAGTCGAGGGCGTAGATTACTGCACGCTTATTAAAGGGATAAGGACGGCATAAGCCAATCGATTACGCGTGGGAATGAAAATGTCTCCGCGACTCTCCCCTGGGCGCGCCCTCTGCCCTGCTGGCTACTACCCAAAAAATTTCAACTCCTTCCAGGTAATTTTTAGCCGATAGCGTAGAGGCTTTTCAAGCCTGGTAGGTATATAAATCTACAAGGAATACAAGTTTTAATCGCAGCTAAAAATAGTGCATCATAACGACAGTATAGCAAAAACTAGAATTACCTTTCAAAACGGGGTCAAACGGCTAATTTTGGCTTTGCAAATCTCCGTTTCTTCTTCGATATTTTGAATATTCTATTCGCTACCTTCAAAAAGATATACTAATGGGTTTAATGACAGCCCAAATGATGCAATACCTAACACGGCGATTCATCCTTTAAGAAAAACGCGCATGAGAGGGGAAGACGGGGCTAGGCTACGGCACGCTCCAATCGACGCGTAATTGGTTCTTAAAGCAAAGGGGGGTCCGTCTTCTGCGCTTTCAAGCCTTTGTAACTTTTTTATATGGTAGTTTTCATAATTTGAGCGACCGCTCAAAAAATAGAAGAGACTTCGCTCTATCTTTTAATAGGGGTTTTGTCAAAATCGAGCGTTCAAAACGCGACTTCTGATGGTTTGAAATTTGAAAAATGAGGTGCAAGTTATCGTCTGAGCTCAAATCCAGCTAAATACTGGCTCAAACGCCTCAACTACATTTTCTGGGAGAGTATCTGTCATGAACTACCCAATATTGAGTCAACTTGGGGTTTTAAAAATTTACGCGACGATTCCAGTTCAATGTTTTCTGAAATTTTCAATTAGCTATAACTTTTGTTTATGACGGTTTTCGAATCTACTAGCAGACTAGGAACGAAGAGCAGAACTTGCTCTATCTTTTGCACCTAGTTTTAGAATAGCCCAGCGCCGAAATTTAGCGAATGGGTCCTGTAAGAGGGTGCGATCGGCTTACGATCTTTACTGGCCTATTCCGCATGGAGAGAAGGTGCTAGCCAGCTTTTTTGGGTTTTATAGGGTTACGGAATTCCTTTATGAACATTTGGAGCAAAAAGCAAAAAGAAAACGCAGAGGTTTGCGGCCTCGGGAATCGAACCCGCACCCCCTATCTCGGAGCTGGACCGCCGCCTTAGACCACTACACCACGCCTCGACCGCCCCTCCCGTGCGCGCTCTGAAACGCCGTGCTAATACGTACAGAAAAAAAATGGGTTCTTATGGCTCGGCTCCGCTTCCCAAAGAGAGCCTTCCTCCGTTTTCTCTTCGAAAATACCCCCGAACTTGCAGGCCTCGTTCCGCGAGCCGTTGACGAACCCCGACATCCCCCTCGGCGGCCACTGCTCGCTGCACGCGGGCTTTCAGCAGTCGGCGCGAAACCCGAGGACCGCGCGCTCCACGGTCAGCAACCACCGCCGTCGCCCGTCGCGCACCCTCAGCCACAGCACGCCGACGGTGGGGGAATTTGTTGTTCATCGGAAAAGCCTAAATGTCCATTATTCAATGCCTGTATCGAGAGGCCGACGTTTTAAACTTAATTTTCTTATATCGCACTAATTTTCACGCTAAAAACCCTGCCCGCAGCCGAGATTCCGAGTTCTCACCTCAATTTTACGCCCTCTTTTTGTTTCCCCCCTGTTTTACCATTTTTTGGACCAAAATTTCTTTTTTTTCCAGGCCGATTAAAACATTTTCATACACCTTACAGTCTTCGCTGTACGAAAAATATTGGTTACCAGAAATATAAGCCAATCGGAGCTGAAAACTGCCCTAATAAACATTTTTATCAAGGAGCAGCAATGAAACACCACCCTACCAGACCCACCTTTCAAAAAACAATTATTCAACCCAAAATTAACCCCACTGTATAGAGCCCGATGCGCAAGAAGCTCCCCTACCACGATCGCAAGACGCGCCGCGAGGTGCGCCAGAAGCAAACAGATTGAGCATGAGCTGCTGATCATTCAGATTCGCCGGGAGAACCAGCAGCTCAAGCTGAACCCGCCCACCTCCGCGCCGCCCAACGACCAGGTGGTGATCCAGATGCGCAAGTCGCAGTTGAGCAGCCTGCTCGACCGGCTGGCCGCCGACGACGACGACACGCTCGTCTCGATCTTTGTGGACAAGGACAAAGTGGTGGGGAGCTTCGAAAGGCACTTCATTTTTTCGAATTTTCTGGTGCCCGAATTTCAACTGGTGCTTCTCTCTTAGCGGGGGCGGGGCCAATTTTTGCCCAGCCCGTACGCCCTCATAAAGAACATAGCATTTTTCAGTGCTATTAGCTATAGCCCAAGCTCATAACAACTCGCAAATTTTGTCTTTTTGGTCCAAAAGCTACAAAAAAACTAGGTGTAGTCGCAAAATAGAAATTGCCCCCTCCCCCGCCACAAAAAGCGAAGCACCTTTCAACTTTTTTTCAACTCGCTGAAAAATTTGGTTCGGCTGTTAATTTTGCGCGGAGTTGCAACGCTTAAAATGGAATCGGTAAAATGTAAACAACTCTTCAGCTGACCCGCCAACAGTACACGGCCATGAAGAAGAAGAACCCGCCCGGCTTCTTCTAAATCTTTTACATCCCACCGCTCCAACCCATCACATGCAATCGATTAATTTTCGCTATTCGACACGATTTTTTTTTCTTCTTCGTGTAACAATTCAAATATGATCCTGCCTGGACAGACCCTCGTGCTCCACGCATCTGTGTAATTGTGTGTAATAAACGAATTTATGACAACAGTGGCTAAAATAAAGCATTAAACGGTTATTACGAGAAGGGTGGCGTGTGGGGAAACAACAAAGATTGGGGAGGAAGCGTGTGGAAAACAGATCGAAAAGTACCGGGAGAAGCTGTTAGGCTGACACGTAATGACCGAAAGGGGATGGGAATGCGAATGGATAACGTATGGGGGAAACAAGGCAAAAATGAGCAATAACGCTCAGAAATGTGGAGAATTTTTCTACACTGTCTAATAGTGTCCGTAGCCGCCTCGATTGTACGCCGGCGGACCGCGCTGCTGACGAGCCGGCGGGTATCGCTGCAACGGAGCTGCCGGCGGGGGCGGTGGAGGGCGGGTCTCGATGTCGAGAATCGATTTAATCGGACGGCCACCCGTCGGCGCAACTGCAAGATGGATTTACTGGGTTCTAAAGGGTCACAAAACTACAAAAATTCCGGTTCTTACGCAAAATGACGGGGGTCGAATTTTTGCCGGAGTTTCGACCAAAGCGCCAGTATTGAAAAAATTTTCAAGCACAAAATTTTGAAAGAATTTTTCCGCCCAAAATACAGCTATGTTTTTCAAAACGCTGTTCAACTGCTTCTAGTATGTGATCAGCATATTTCAACTTGTAGGCAAAAATTTGATTTCCTCTGGAAACACTAAAGAGCCAAAATTCTTATTTTCATACGCCCCAGTACTTGATTACGGCTAGATCCTGAAATATCTATGGTCTACGGATACTCAAAAATACCTTGCTGATGCTGCTGCTCAGCCCAAGGATCTATCGATTCGGGCGGCGCCTGCCAGGCGTTGTCATAGCCGTAATCTTGGTTGAAGTAGGACGGCTGCCCCTGCTGCTGCTGTGGCTCGTAGGGTTGTTGATGGTCCTTGTACTGATTCTGTTGTTGGTAATGAGCATAATTGCTCGACGGTCCAGGTTGTGGCTGACGCTGCTGCTGCTGTTGTTGCTGCCGAGGCAGATGAGCAGCACCGCGGCCGCGACGCGAGGTACCTTGGGCTACAGGTCCTCCGCCGATCATAGAATTCAGAGACCCGACAGCGCTGTCCCAATCGTCGTCGAGAGTGACGACGTCGGGTGGGTGGTCTTGGTTTGCAGCTTGTCCGCCTGGCTTCGTGACTTGGCCTTTGGGGAGTTCGATATTGCGGCCAGGTATAGGGGTCGGTCCGTCAGCATAATAGTAGAACGCGTCCGGGTCATAGCCGTGCTCTCGCAGCTCGCGTCTCATCTTCTTGCGGGCCGTCTTGGTGGCGGACTCCTTGCCGGGGACGGGGGGCGGCTCGTTGTAGGCGCCCGGCGGGTATTGGGGGTCGTCTTGCTGAGGGCGTTGGACATCGCCGTTGGTGGGTCGCGTCGTCGGCAAAGTCGACTTGACGCCATTTCCACCTTGGACAGGGAATACAGGCCCGTCACCAGAGCGGCGCTTCATCTCGCTGGGATGCATCGGCATAGCCAGATTTGTTTTAGGAAGTGGCGGCTGCCTGGATTGCTGCTGGGTAGATGGGTAGTCGAATGGCTGGCTTGGCTGGTAGTTGGGGTAGCTGCTCGAGACGGTCGGCAGGCCATAGATGTCGGATGGTTGCGACTGGTCGTTGCCCGATATTTTCTTGGGGAACAAACTATCCAACGTGCCGGCTAAAGGGTTTTATAAACTAAGGCGTTATTGATACCTTTCAAGCCGGCCATCAGGTTCCTAATCTTGTCCGGAAGCAGGTCGGTGGAAGGCGCTAAAAGAATCCGTTCTAAAAATATAAAATTTCGACCGGCAGAGCTTGTGGAGCTCGAAAATGGCTGCTGCATGCCGGGCCCCGAATCGTATTGATCGCGTTGGTTTTGGCCAAAGGGTGGTGGCATTTCGTTAGATCTTGTGGCTGATGTGTCAGGCTAAACATAAATTCTCCAAAAAAAGAGCCTTGCTGACCTTCTTGAGATTGATGCCAAAAGCGGCGAGGTCGATTTTGGCCTGGTCTCGCGACGATGAGTCGCCAGCCCCGTTTCCGAAAATTCGACTTGAGAATTGCGTCAACAGCCCAAGGGTTTCAGCGTTATCTCGGGGAAGGCCGATCTGGGATGAAGCTTAGTGGCTAGGAAAACGTGCAAACCTCGTCATACAGCTTATTTATCGCATGCTCGTCCATCACACCGCCTCTGTTGTACTCCATTTGCATCGTGGCCAGCAGCCCCAGAATTTTGCTCGTCTCCTGGTTGGGGTCCAGCGGAGTTTGGGGTGCCTTCGGTTTAGTGGTTCCCTATAAAAGGACTTGATTATGTGAGATCTTCGTACCTCAATGGGCACCGACATCACACCCGGAATGGCCTCCTTTGACGACGGCTTCGTGGCGACTTTGACGCCCATCTTGGTGAGGAAGGCGGCGGATGACTCTTCCCATGTCATTGGTCGATCATCAGGTAGAAGCTTCTCCCTTGATTTCGAACGCTTCTTCTAAAAGATGGTTAACAGAGAGTGTAGAAAGCCCACTGGAGAGCGCGTCCTAGCCCGTTTGGAGCGGCTCTTGGATCGGCTGCGGCGACGGCGGTCCCGAGAGCGAGATCTTGAGCGTTTCCTGTCCCGACTGCGACTGCGGCTACGTTTCCGTCGATCGCGTGATGAAGAACGGCGGCGGTCACGTGATGAGGCTCGCTTCGACGGCTTTTGAGTTTCCTCGCGGGCACGTTTTCGACTGAAATTTTCGATATGATAAAAAAGCTGATAAAGAGCATCTCGATCAGTCAAGGAGCTTACGGGGGGCTCCTGCTTGGCGCAACGACTTCCTCCGTAACAGCTGGCCCCTCAGGCTCTTGCTCAACAGGCCGGCCGGACCACAGCGCACTGGAGACATCGGTAACGGGCATAGCTCCTCCCTGGCTGGAGATATACAATTTATCTTCCGGCGCAACAGGAATCGGACTGCCAGCGCCTGAAAATGGAGAAATTATCGAAGCATGAATTAAACCCACTGGATTCATAACGCCATGACCGGTCAAGTTCAGTGACGTAGCTCGGCCACATTCGGGAGATGACGATCCGGTTGAGCACCGTACGGAAGCGCTGCGTCACCACTGGGAGCGGCTTTTCTCTCTAAAACCAATCTAAATCAGCCCAATTGCTAACCGTCCAAAGCTGCACGGCGAACTGCTCGATCATGCAGTCCTGGATCTCGTGGTTCTTCTCCTTCATGATTGCTTGGTAGAAGCTCTTGCGATATTTGGCCTAAAACGAGTATACAAAAAAAATCACAAATTCCATACCAGGAATTCCAAACGATGCTTCTGGTCACCAAGGTGTTTTTGCATTTGCGACGGGAAAGCCCAGAAACGGCACATCGAGCAGTAGTAGGACTCGAGAACGGGGTCGTCGAGGCAGATTACCTAGAACAAAAGATACTGTCTCAAAAACCAAGCATGAGTGCAATCTATCAAAATTTACGCCCTCTTAGGATTAAAACGATTGCAAAAATTATTAGAATTGTTCTTGGCAAAAAAGCGCTTGAAAATGACCAAATTCTTAGTTTAAAAAATACTTCAATGACCGCATCCAATCCGATGTGACCTTCGGCGCTGGTGGCAAAGTTGTTGAACCGTTTTGGCAGCTCCTCCTGTGGGATCGGCACGGTGCCCTGTTCCCACACTGGAAAAAGAGATAGTTAAGCCGAATCCGGAAAGCCACGTACTGAACTTGAGCAAGGCGTCTCTATTCGCGAAACTTCCGGGATCAAGCAGGAATGGATCAACCCTCGCCCTGGCCAAGCTAGGCTTATCGGGAGGGGTTGGATTCCAGATTGGCGTCGGTGCAACGGGCACTTGAACTTGATTCATTGGCGGTGGGATGTGGGGAGCGGCTGGGAGAGCCATTGAGACGCCCATCGGATATTGCAAGCCCGGAATGACGCCCATCGGAAGAGCCATACCTGGTTGGAGATCTAAAACCAGAAATTGGCTATATTCAAACGTAGCCTACGTAGCATGGGTTGTTGAACGCCGGGATATTGGACGAGCTCGGGATGTATCATTGGAGGGGGCTGCGTAATCGATGGCGGAGGCACACTGAGATCCACGAGCGGGTTCATGATCACCGGGTCGGGCTCGGGGACGACAGGAATTCCCTCCTTTTGACGGCGTAACTAAAACATCAGAAATTAAAATAAAGTGATGGTCCATTAACCGTCTCTAGCTGCAAGAGCAAACGCTGTTGATTCAGCTGCATGTCGTTGATCCGATTCTTCTGTGCTTCCACCTCGGCCCTCTCCTTTTCCTTGGCTCTTTCCTTTTCGCGCATGAGCTCGCGCTCGATGTCTCTTGCACGCTCTCGCTCTCGTTCCAGCTCCTTCTCCCTGGCTCTTTCTTTCTCGCGTTCACGTTCCCTCTCCTTCTCCTTGGCAGCACGGGCCTTTTCGTCTTTTTCTTTTTGAGACTTCAGCATCTTCTCTTTCTCTTGGGCAAGCTGAAATTACGATGTTTTTTATAACTAATCCGGTATAAGCACCTTTTCTCGCTGGGAGGCCAGTTCTTTCTGGCGTTGTTCGAGCATCCGTCTCAGCTCCGCCTCCTTAGCGTCTTTTGCCGCTTTGGCAGCTTCCTCCTCACGAAGTCGTTTTTCTTTCCGAGCTTTCTCCTCCTAAAAATTTTGTTCAGCTTTTGCAGGAAAAACAAATTACCTTTTCCTTGGCCTCCTTCTGAAGCGCCTCCTGTCTAGCCTTGATCCGTTCCTCGTCTTTCTTGCGTCGCTTCTCCTCAGCTATCCGCCGCTCTTCCTCCAGAACTTTCCGCTTCTCCTCCATGTGCAGCTGTTTCATCGCTAGCAACGCCTTCCTCTCCTTCTCGCCCACCGGATCGTAGACGCGAATACAGTAGTCGGATGGAGGAACTGTATCGCGCAGCAGCTGGGCGATATGCTAAAAGGCAATTTAGACACCGAAAAAAGAAAAATCACCTTCCTTATCTCTGCATTCTTGCCCTCGTCGGCCAACTCCTGCACACGTTTCATGGCTTTTGGATGGTACTTGTGCTAAAGCGAGTTTTTATCTGAAGTCGGAATCGTTCCGCACCACATAATACATCACGTGATCCCACGATCGCACATGTTCTTCAAGCGGCTGCGATTTACGGCGGAACGAAGTGAAGCAAATCCGGCAGTAGAAGTCGGGGTGCCAGTCGGCGTTGTTAAGCTCATCGCTCTTTCTAAAGGACGATATTATTAATTGTGTAGCTAGTTTAATAATATCAATGGTCCTCACTTAAAAAACTAACCGATCCACAATATCCTCAAGTCCGACAATCGACAAAACGTATTCATGCGACTTTGTATTCTTGTTGACCTGCCAGCCGACCTTCTGAAGCAGAAAATTGGTAATAATCAAGTCATACAAATCCCCACCTTTGTCGGGTTCTTCTGCTCAAAGGGCTTGACCGTATACTGAGAATAGGTCTTCGCGAAGCCAGCAGGCGCTGAAAAGCAAGCTTTATAAGGAACATTTCAGTTAAAAATATCAATAATCTATCACAATGCAACCCTCAAACAGAGGAAACTTTAAGGCTTTATTAGGTGTGATCACACTGTCTCTAATTATGACGCTTATTTGCAGCGCATTTCGGGCGTACCGCAACACCATCCGCCACGTCTTGTCGCTGAAGTGCAGAGAAAAGAAATATGTACCCATTTGGCAGGCGGCGAGCGCGGCTTGTCGCTGAAAGTGTTCTTCGCGTGCGAAATGACCATCCCAGGCGGCCTCGACCAAGTTCTCGGGTGTGCAGACGAAGACCACGTGGCATTTCTGCAATGAGCCACGGTTCCTGCTGCCTTGAATTCGGCGAGTTTTGTCATTTGGATAACAATAAAAATAGGCGAAACAGCAGGCCAAGGCCAAGAGGCCATCGGCCAAAATCCAATCGGAAATAAAAAGTATGAGGAGATAATTGCAATGCCAACGTAGTTCTCAGTATGCGTCAAGATTACCCCGGGTTTGAGTAGGGGTCATGGGGCGAAAAAAAGTCGAAAAACAGCAGAACTTTCTCGGGATGGCAAGGAAACTTCGAAAAAGTGGTAAAGAAAGGAAATACAAGAGGAACAATCAATCACATGCAGTAAAAAAGGACGAATTATTGATTTGATCGCGAGCAGCAGTTCTTCTTTTCCACAAGCTGTTGGAGCTGATCATCTTCTATGCGACCGGGCGGCAAAAGTAAAAGTCAAAAATCACAGGTTCAAAATAACGTGATTTTTTTACGAATGGAATGTAGCAAATTTTCAGGAGGACAGGATATACGCAAAACGTCCTGAACCCGGGTACTCTCTTTTACATAAACTAAGACTACTGAACACATTGCCAGGAAAATAGGGATAGAACCAGTTGGGTTCTGAGAGCTCCATCAAGCTGAAATCGGCATTTCAAGCTTTCACTTACAGTGCACCTGACGAGGAGCTCGGGATTGAGGTCCCCTTTTTCCTCCATGTCGATGATCACCAGGCCAGTGGCGAGCATTGCGTTGCGCAGCGGGATCGTTTCGGGAGCTTCCGCTGAAAACGTATTTGAGAAGAATCCCGGCTCATACTTGTGTCTTCGGCAACGATATCCACCAATTCAGTGAGAATTTCGTACGATTCGCGTAATGGTGTATCGAAATTGGCGGCTTCAAACTGAAAAAAACCCATTTTCAGAACCTTATTTGAGACTTGCCGATCTTCGCTTCACCGTTCCCCAAGTTCCAATTCTCGCGGCCAACGCCGAATCGTAGACGCGAGCGTCATTTGACTAAAATTCAGATAAAATCTCCAGCGTTGGCATTGGATACCTGGCCATCTAGCGGCATTCGTTGAATAACTTCGCCGCACAACTTCAGCAAGTCCTAGAATGATTTTAGGTTAATTTGAAATTTTCCAAATAAACCTCATGCTTCAGACAGGCCTCGATCGGCGGAATCATGCACCGAAGATTTGCGTTCACATGGCAGTATTTCTTGAGGTGATCGAGACCTCGGATGTGGTCGATGGCTTCTTGCTTGAGAGAGTAGTGGAACGCCTCAGCGCAAAGAATGCAGATGTACTAAAATCTGATTAAAAACCTAGATTTTTCGTACCGTTTCAGAGTCGCGGTCTTCGATGAAATATTCGAGGCCGATGTTGGCTTGCCCGTGCACCCAATTGCAGCCGGATTGCTTCCAGTCCACCCACGGCTTCTGGACACAGTTGGCAAGCGCCGGCTCGAGGTTCGACTGGACGGGCACAGAGAATTGATCATCTGCAAAAAGCGTTAGTTGACAAAAGCGTTTTAAAGCCACCTAGGAAGTACTCCGCCCGTTTGGCGATCATCGTATAATGCAGCTCGCTTTCGATGTGGTCATGCCAGGCGGACATGTGATCGTTTTCAACGAGCGGCAGGGTGGTCAAGCAAGTCTGAAAGACAAAAATATCGTCAAATAACCAATTATTTAATTACAGGACATATATATATATATAGAATTGGCAAAAAATTTACCGAGCACATGATGCAGTTACGAGATTCGTCGTAGGGCTCGGGGGCTGGGATTGGTTCGGGAAGTGGCAGTGGACCCATTATAACGCGCTCCTTCAACTCCTTCGGCATCGCGCAGGGGCACCGTCGGGCTTTGTCGTTGTAGAGCGCCTTCTTCGGCAAGCATTGGAGCAGCTAGAAAATTATTTTCGTTGGAATTTTTCAAATTAGTTTTGAAAATCTTCATATTCTTCATTCACATAATATGCGTCGAAAATTATGCTCACCCGCGCCCTCCTCATCCTCGCGTCACAGAACGACATGGTTAAGCCATTTTTCGGATCGAGCTTTGTCTAAAAGAAACATGGATTCCGTTAGCTTTAGCATACCAGAAAACGCAATATATGGCTTTCACACGAAAAATGGTCCTCAAGGCCGTCAACGAGGCACGAACATAGCGAGCAGTAAGAGTTGCCTTCTAAAATTCACAAATCAAAGGATAATTTCATGACGGTGTGTACCGAATTGGACCAGATAGTTCATCCCGCACACCGGTCCCTGCATTTGCGCATCGACGGGCAGCTGGCCCGACAGCAGCAAGTCGTAGTTCTTCCAGCCGCTGACCGTGTTGTGCTCCCGGCTATTGGCCGTCTCGTCGACAACGTCTTCCGGTGCGCCTAAATAATAGGTTGAAGTTAGAGTTGCTTTCTTACAAAGTCCTATAATGTTGTTGATCCACAGCGCGTTTCGATGGCCTGGGCCGACGGTGTGTCGGCGCCACGCCTCTGCAGCTTCCGTTTCTTTCCCGCGGAAGATGATCGCGTCATTACAAGTCTAAAATGACGTTTTTAAAGTTTTCGCCTCGTGTGATCTCAGAAAACCGCGTGAATTACTAAAACTCACCGGGCAATTCAGGAAAAACATGGTCGGAAAAGCCGTGCGCGTCACGGTGTACTGAGGTGCTCTGTCGGCCACCAGAATCAGATTGGCCGAAGCCTCAGGCTTATCCATCCGCAGCTTGATCACGTCGGGTGGCAATATCGTTTCGCCCTGAATTATAGGTTACTACAAATTTTAAGGAGCGTATCACCTCGGCAAAGACTTTGTCCTTTTGTTCCAAAATCTCGCTGACGGAAGCGGTCAAAAAATTCTTCTGTGCATCACCCAGAAACTCGTTCTGAAAGAAATAGCTTCATTGATTGTCGCTTCGATCGTTTCCTAGCCAGATTTCTAAAAACGCACCAAATAAATCCCCAAGTGCCGACGACTGTTCAGATGCTGATCGAGCTGGTCGTAGTTATTGCCGCTCTCATAACAAATCGAGCAGGCCCACCATCCGGACTCGGCCCAGTCGAACACGAACTCAACGATGCAGTCCGCGCCTAAGAAAATTTGCAAAAAAGTTATAACAATTACCCAGAACATTTTCTTTCAAATACGCGTAGCGCCTCGCAATTTCCGAAGGTCGCGTGTGCTCCGTCTCGTTGGTCGAAATCTTGTTGAGGAAGGCACTGATGTTCTTACGCTAAAATATGCATTCAGAAGCACACTGCTATTTCAGACCTTATTGTGGAGGGGCAAGGTGTTGTGCAGTTGCTTTTGTTGCTGATTCTTGCATTCGACGAGGCAGTACCGGCACTTGTCCTCATCAAAATCATCGTTTTTCGCTGGAGGCATAGCCTGAAAACGGGAAGGGAGGTCTGGTAGAAGCAATTGCAATAATGGAATGAGGTAAAAGTGAAGACGGCGTATCTAAAAAGATCTTCATATCTAAAAAGCTACGCTACATAAACCAAGCTCAACAATTTGCGAGAGTTTTACCCTTCTGTCATGCAGTTCTTAACAGCTCTAAATAGGGCTAGCTACCTACCAGCCAATCGACTGATTACAGATGTTACAGGAAATTTAGCTGGTAGCTTGTCGTTGCATCGGTCAGCCAGAACCCGCCGGGGTATCGGGCACCCCTGGGAGCTCGGCGGAGAGCAAAGGGCCGTGTTACGAGGTGCCTTTCGTAGGGTCTCCGACCACAGGCGGTGCGGCTTTTACTTTGCATTTCGCGTGGCTGTGGCGGCCAAACGGAATCGGAGTCAATTCATGCTCATACGAATTCCAAATATTGTTCGGTGAGTGACCGAACCATTCATTGTTTAGCGTGAAAAATTCGTGATAAAATCTTTATCAAGGCTGCTCAAAAAATGAAAGACAAAACAAAAAAAAAGAAACGGAATCACAAATCGTCTTCGGATTTTCGCGTTTTCACAGTTATCAAAAAAGCTTTCGTGCCCCTCCACCACTTGCCGGCGAGGTTGCGTCCCCAACGTAGAACTGTGCCATCATCTCGCTCTATTTCGCCCTCCTCTCGATTTTGCCGTCCGATGTAAAACGAGCCGATTTGAATCGGTGAGTCCACCATGATTTCGACTACGAACTTGTTGCGTTTTCCTGAGATCCACTGATCGTAGAGCTTCTGGTGCATCAGGGCGAGAGGTTGGGTGACATTCATTCCATCGTCGACTAGATGAAATTTCAGCGAAGTAAATTTCCATTCCGGAATGTAGCTCAACCACGCAACGGGGAGATCGGCAAATTGCAGACAGTCCACATTTTTCAGCACCCGAGCGAGTTTCAGATCAGCGTCGAATGCCTCGGCGTGCCATCCCGGAAATTCAACCTTCGCAGGCTTCCATTTTTCGATCAATCTGGCGCATTTGCCGGCATTTCCCTGTCCTCCTTGGAAAACCAACGAGTAGACACGCATATCGGGGGCGACGGTCGTCTCTACGTCGTAGTGGAGCGTTCGAACACGCGCGTCCGTCAGCAAGATCTCAGCATCCTTGTGCGCCCAGCTTGAATGTCGAGTGTTACGAACCCAATACGGTGCAGTGAGCAAGACTTCTTTCGGCAGACAATCGACCATCTCGAAATGTTTGTTCCGCACCGTCTTTGTCGCACGCAGAAGATTCGGATGGCATTTGGCGACTGACTGCAAATCCCATACATCAAGGTTGGCGATGATTGGGTACAGCAGGTCATAGGGAAGATCGCAGATATTTATGGATGTTCCCCCCGTTTTTTTCGAATTGGCTAGCAGAATCACAGCTTCTTGGCGGGAAAAAGTTTCGTAGTCGATGATGGCCAAGTCGTTCGATATATCAACGATTTCCCACGTCTTTCCGGGCCACTTAACGACGTGTTCGAGTAGAATATCATGCGAATTCGCCGTCTCAAGCAGACTTCGGGCATCCAGAGGCCCAAACACCTCGTGAATCAGGTTTAGCGGCAGATCGAGAAGTCCCTTCCCGGCTTCAACTTTGCGCCGCTTGACATTTGGCGGTTGCAAATCCTCGGTAAGAGCATCAGCCATTTTACCTGCAAAAGGCAATATATGTACGGTAACGAAAACATAAACAAGAGAGCATCGCATCAGAAATCTGGCCCTAGATAAAGTTTTGATTTGCGGGGAATTCGCTCTTCCTGATAGGCGTTTTGGCTAAAGTCTAGGAAACCCCCCCACCAGACGACTTTTCAACTTTTCTACCTTCCTTATTTTTCTTGTCTAACTAATTATCCAATTGCGAGCATTTTGGTATACTTTAGAGCTCGCTAGCGCAAAGGGGGGGGGGGGCGAAAAAAAATGTAAAATGTCCAATGGGTAGATGAAACCCGCCAAGTCCTTTTCAGATACTCCCGTTATGCCTTTGTCGGCCACTGTTTGTCTCACTATGTCGACCGGTGCCTTTGGCAATTGCTGTTTCTGCTGTGAAATTTGGCTGTCTGATCTAGAGTGTTTATATTTATCCATCTTTACATTTACACATTAGAGGCTATGCCCAAATTTGAACGCTACCGCGTTTTTAGACATGCCTTCGGGATGAAAGAAGCGGTTAGACCCAGCCGGAGAGAGAGAGGTGAAATAGATCTTTCTGCAAGCAATTTCTAGAACTAGAATACTTTCTAGAATTGCGCACATAGAATCTCACACGAGCGCACAGATATAGGAGAGCAATTTTAGAGTACATGATGTGGCCACAGAGCTGAGGATTTTGCAATAAGGGCATATTATTTGGCACGCATTACCTAGGTAGTGAATGTAGGCGAAGTCGTTTTTTGAATAATTTAATAGTCTAACAACGCTGAAAAAATTACATGGCGATCATGGCCGCGTGGGGTGCAAAATAAAAAGCGTCAGAACACAGCAATTGGGACATTGGTGAAAGACAAGAGAAGAGTCTGGAGAGGAACACACACATCTGAAAAGCTGCCTAGAAGGGCGAATCGAAGGGTGACGACTGACTATTTTGTTCAGAGTATAGTGCACATTTTGCAAACTAGGTAGATGTCCCTGTTAGGGGACGCTCACAGTCGGTGAAGGAGGGGAAATGACAAACAAAGTTAGGGTTAGTAAGAGGGGGGGAAAAGCACAAAAATAGTCACAGAGTAGAACATCAAAAAACCTTTGGTTTGTTACGGGGAAGACTAGAGACAATGATGGCTGTGACTTGAGAAGCCGACAGGGATTTGGCATTGATCTCTCAGAGTGCAGCAGGAAGAGCAAGTGCAATATGGGGGGAGAAGCTTAGCGCATGCTGTGCAGGAGGTTTAGCTTGCTTCTGGAGGTGCGTGGGGCGCCGCTCTTGGAGAAGACGTGCCAGAAGCGCAGCGTCTCATCGCCGGCGCCGGTGACGATGGCTTCGCCGTCAGGGGACATTGCCTAATTATGGAGTTTTTTGCAAATAAAAAAACGGCTTACTAGATACAGGACTCTGAAATTGTGGCCTGTCAGCTTGGTGACCGGTGTCATGCTCGGGTACTTCCAGATTATCACCTTAAAAGATATTTCAAAAACGTGCACCAAATTCGTACGTGATTGTAGCTGTAGCCGTGGGTCGAGACCAGTTCGGACGAGTGCTTCGACCAGGCAACGTTGCACACCTGAAACGAGTAGATAGAAATATATATGGAAAAACGTCAATGGCACGATAGCAAGGAGTAATTGGTTCTTTAGTATTACAGGGGTAATCCAATTTTTCTAAGCGATTTTACTATCCCTAAAACTTTTTAGAAATTATGTTTAAAAATGCAAAAAAACTATTCTCAAGTATTTTTGCTAGTGTTCACAATAGCTTCTCCCGTAAATACGTCTACTTTTACTGAATCCAGCACTAAAATACTAGTTATAGGCTTAATAAGCATATTGGCACCCGCAGCAAAAAATTGGGGCCCCGGAAATACGAAATAGCATTATTTTTTAAATGTACCTGGCTGCCAGTGTCGATACATTGCATCGCCTGCCCGGTGAGCGTGTTCCAGAAGCGGAGACAACGATCGGCCGTCCCTCCCCCGCTGACCAGAAGCCCATGGTGGTGTGGGGACCAGGCGAGGGCCTTCACTGCCGCGTTGTGTTCAGTGTATATCTGAAACTAAACGTTGTCCTTGTAGCAATACGCGCATTCGTCCTATAGTTTTACGTCTGCCAATCAAACTGACGATGACCTCGAGTCCCCCCATTCGAAGCTCAACGGGGGCAATTTATCAGATGACCGGGGATGGCTATCTATTCGCCGAGAGTAATGACTGGGTCGAACCGTTATGCAAAAGGGCTCCTATTTGCCACCTCTGCTCGCCCCTGGAAGGGCTGCGCAACCAGGCAGCGAAGGTCATTTGAACTAGGCGTCGGTGGTCGATGTTATCGCATCGAGAAAAGCCGTAAAAACCAAAAACAAATCAGAAGTGACCTAATTTGGCCGCGCTACACTTAAAGAGATGAGGACGGCATCTGTTGAACCCCCCTTGGGGAGGGGGGGTTCAACAGGTCCCGCGGCGATCTCGCGCGAGAGAGGGCTCCCAGGGGAGAGGCGCAGAGACATTTTCTTTCCCTCGCGTAATCGATTGACTTATGCCGCCCCTATCTCTTTAATGACCAAAATATTAACTTTAAAAGTTCCCGCAGTTATTTATCGCCTTATACATATATGACCAATTATTGGCATAAGAAGAAAATTAGCCCAAATATTAAAATTGGAGTTGTTTGGCTAAAAATTTCGGTCGAAGTGATGAGAACCCTAAATGAACGCGAAGTCGGCCGCTTCCTTCTAACTAAAGCTTAACCAACTTTACACAGTTTGAGTTAAAAAATATAACTTTTATCTACTATCTCATCATTCATCACCCACGGCTCTTTTTGACCGAATCTTCCTATTCGCTAGGGTATCAGGTACCGATGTAATTGCCTAGCCTCGGGTTACTACACACCCCGCAAGACATAGGGGACGCCCCCGGTTGGTCCGTCGTGCCAATTGGTGCCTAGGGCTGGCCGGTGACCCCCGCTGACCTCGAAGCTGTCTCCCCCTCTGGAGGGCCGCACCCTTTTGCGATACGCATCTCTCTCCCGTGGCCCATAAAACAAAACGAGGTGAGACATAGACAAATAATGCACCCGGAGGAGCCAAACCTCGATTTCCGACGATTCACTAATGGAAACCGAGTGTCAGACGGTAAAAACCCCAGCGGGATGTGCTATGGAAAAAGCATCTGATAGCAAATTTCAACCAGAAAGTCAAACGGCAGGGTAACAAAACCTGCTGTTCAAAATCTCAACTGATTAGCCCCTTTCTGTCCAGAGAGATTAGGTTTTCAGACTAAATCGATATAGGTTTCCCATAAAGCAGGAAATTCCTTTGAAAGATGGCAGTCAAAAATGTTAAACATAGTTCACGGGCGCGAATGTCGGGCAGCCCAGCCAAGCATCGACAAAAACTTGCTTGGCACGGGTCGTTTCTTCGTAGATTCCACACCAACAACTGGTTGTCGTTGCCGCCCGACGCAAGGTACTGACGATCCGGCGACCACTTCAGACCACAAACCTATACACAAAATTAGAGAGCATCTTCATTGTGGCTACCTCTTGTCTGTGCGCGACAAGCTTCCGGTCCGAGTAGTTGTTGCCGGCTCGCAGATCGCGTTGCATGATCGAGCGGTCGCGGCTGCCCGAGCAGATCAGCTGATCGTTCCACGCGAGGCAGCCCACGCGCGAGGTGTGCCCGGCCAACTCGTGGATTTTTTGCTGGGTGTGGATGTCCCATATCTAGAACGAAACGCGTTTGAAGGTAGCGAAAACGTCTCTGAAAGCCATTTACGAGTCACAAAAACACAAAACATTTAAAATTTTATAAACGAACCTGGGTTATCCCCTTCCCAGTGCCGACCGCAAGCAAATCTCCTTTATCCGCCCACTGTACAGAAGTCACAGAATCCCCGTCGTTCGTAGAGAGATCACATAATTTGATAACCTAAGCAAAACATAAAAGCCAACGCAGGACAGCAGTACCTGACTATTATTAGCACTCCAGAGGTAGACGCATGTGTTCAACCCGACCGAAAGCATATTCTGTGAAGACCAATCAACCAGATTGAGATAAAAGTCATCTTGCAGATCGGGAGCATCAAGCACCTAGAGACAAAAAATTAAGCATATCAATAAAAATTCCAACCTTGTAGGGATTTTTCGGGACTTTGCGCTGTGGCTTTCTAGGGCTCTTGAGCAAGCGCTTGCTGTCTTCAGAAAGCGGGCCGGACAGAATGCCACCATAGGGCTGCGAGGTCGAGGGGTCGCCGTATCTAAAAAAAGTCTGAGAAAAACTGAATAATTTTACTTGGTAGGTGTATGTTGTCGGACACCAAACGCGTAGAGATTCCGCGATGGACTGTCTCTAGGCCGATCCCCAGGCATGACGATCTCGTCTCCAGGACACGGCATGCAGGGTTGGTAAGGCTGCAAAGAAAATATTAATGACACTTCACTCAATAACCATGAAGACTACAAAATTATAAACACCTGTTCGAGGGAAGTTCGTTGTAAACCTACCCTGACATCATCAATGGCATCTCCTAGCAGCTCGTTTCTCAGAAGCGCGCGGTGGACCATGTGCTCTTGTCTTGGCTCGTCCGGCAGCGACAACCCGTTACTTCCATACCCTGTAAAAAGGCGCATAAACTCCATTCTATTCGTGAAAAATACCTCCATAATACGCACGATTTGAGGTCGGTCCTGTTGGTGACGTGTGGGTGTACGGCCGCTTGAAGGTGTTTGGCGAGTCGTGCTCTGCTACGGCCGTTGCTGTAAGAAAACAGTAAATTCATCGAAAAAGGATAGCTTACTGCAAGGAATCGCCGAATAGCGAGCTTGCAGATCGGCCGCTGGTTGTCGAAGCGGTATGAACCGATCGCCAAAGTCTCCTCGTTTTGTCGGCGTGACATGAGGGGACCCGCCCTGAAATCAAATTTACAGGTAATTTGAGAAGACTGTAATAGTCAAAGGCATAAAGTACTGACCGGTGTGTAGATCTTGACTGGAGATGTCCCGGGAAAAACGTTCTGAGACAGCACCCGTCTTTCTTCGGTTGAACCCATTCTGGAATGTACGATGTAAGAAGAATCAGGATTTGAAGGAGATAATCTTAGAAAAGGAGTTTTAAATAAATGAAGCAATAAAATGGATGAAATGAAAGAAGTGCTGACCAAATATGCGATTTCACAAAATGATGACAAATGCCAATGAAGAAACTTATCCCCTCTAGAAAAGAGCGGGTTTCCCTAGGTTTTTCAAGCCTTAGAAATCATTCTAGAGCAGGGAATGGTGCCAGACACCAGTGGTTTGGATACCCCGGGATACATCCACACGTCCAAATACGATAACGAAGCGCCAGCGGGGCGGCACCTCAAACAAAGCCCCCGGGCCGTTAGTGCTCCCGATAGGTAGCCGATAGTCTTTGGCGGCTGGCCATCACTCAATCGGCCCATATTAGGTGAGGGGAGAAGGGTGGGTGGGGGGAGACGAGCTGCTCGGGAATCGATTGGGATCGCCAATGGGGCAGGTAAGTCGCGAACATGTGAGCAAGACCACGCCCCTCCCCCAACCTATAGCCGAGAGAAGAGCAGCTCGAAAATCGATACGTCCAGCCCGACTGGCCGGACGCTCCACCCCCTCTTTCTCTTCTCTCGCTCTTTGCGCTCAAGTCAGCCAGACACACGCATATACACGCAGACGCATAGTGAAGCACGAACCCGGCTGAATAGCTAGCTGGCTGGCTGCAACGCGCATAAATAGCAATCCCGTGTTAATAACAAACTTAGGCGTTCCCGCAGCTAGATGGGTAATCTAAAGGCTGAGAAATTAGCGTCTGGAAAAATTAGTATAACCGTTTAGTAAAAAGATTCTAGATGTGTGCCAAAACAAGCCCTAAAACCAGGGCCAGAGCTCTGATCGATCCGAAAATTTGTAAATTGGTGGTAAACCCAATTTTGCATCTTCAAGGAAGTTTCAACCGATTCCATCGGCTAACTTTAACATTATCGGCAAAAAATTGACCTTTCAGTCTTGACAAAGACGTTTGCCAGAATATTGAGGGCTCAATTAGCCACAATTTTTTTGTGTAAAGCTTTTTGGGTACCACGACACTTGCGCTACGAATTTTTTTTGACTGAAGACGAATTAGAGCCAGTTTTAAGGTAACAATCGGTGATACGGGGTCTAAAGCAAGAAACTACTTTGAAAAATATATCTTAACAGGCATGAAATAATTTTCTAAAGATTTGCCGGGCGCTAGGTGTCATGAAGCCGCCGTCCTACTTACGTACTAGCCCTTACTAGCAATAAGCCAGCTAAAGCAAGTAGTCGCACCGTAGTGGTCAGCCATATCAAACCACAGAGCTAGAACCAAGCGATAAGGCTTTACTCTGGCGTTCGAAACGGTTCAGCAGCCTGCATAGATCGGTCGCTATCAGCATACTGACAAAGCCAGGCGTAGACAATGGAGCGGCCCCTTCCCATGCTCCACGTATACAAGTCCTGAACGATAAGTCACAGAAATGAAACCAGACAGGAATTCAGTAAAAAACGCAGACCAAGGTCATCTAATAACAAAGTGGGTGGCTAACATAGGATCAATCGTATCGACGGCGACTCTCGCCCGGTGAACAAGAGGACCCGGCTCTGCGGATCGAAATCGGTTGTGCTGGGAAGGGCCGCGCTCCTGTGGAACTGTTTGCTGTAGGATTGGGTTCGAGAGAAAGCGTGGGGTGGGCTGTGCGCGATAACTCGGTAAATTTGAAGCGAGCACACAGATAGGGTGCAGCGCGAGCGCAGAGTCGAGGCGCCGGAAAATTTAAATGTCCACCAGCGGTCGTGGTGAGAGCGCTGGCAAACGTTTCTTGTTTGCAAGGCGATGCGAAGGGTCTAGGCTCTATGAAAGAAAAAAGGACAAAGGTGAGGTGTAAATAAAAATAAAATAAAGAGAAAACAAAATCAGCGAAAAGTAAAAATAGAGGCTACCCTATGCTCCAATGAACACCGATTTGTCAAGTGGAACCCAACGTACTACTAAAAATCACTTTTTTGCTTTTGATTTTTCGGGGGTTACTTCGGCAACCCGTATTTAACGCCCCTTCACGCCCTTTCGCGCCCTCCTGTATTTCGCGCCCCCTGTAAATAACGCCCCCTGTATTTAACGCCCTTCTGTATTTAACGCCCTCCAAATCACCACGAAAAGGGCGTTATTTACAGGCAAAAGCTCGTTTTGCAGGGCGTTATTCACAGGAGAGCGCGAAATACAGGGGGCGTTATTTACAGGAGGGCGTGAAGGGGCGCGAAAGGGCGTTAAATACGGGTTGCCGGTTACTTCAGAATTTCATGGTTTTTTTTCTTGATTTTTTAAGCCTTTTATTATTATGTATTTTTATGCTTCTTGTGCTTATTAGACATTATATCATTAGATATATTTGAACATTTAGATAGCATTGCGTTCCGTGGAGTCTCTGCGTGATGGTGTTGCAGTCAACATCAATTGCGGCTGCGAAGGTGTGTTTTCCAGCTTTTTTTGTACAGATTTCACGCATATCTACCAAGCTCTAAGCGCGCCTTTGATCGATTGAACCGCCCGGGTTGTATTTAGTATTTGCCTGATACCCTGCGTCCACAAAGAAGCTGACCCTCCCATATTTCACCCCTAATCCCTTCCCCGATGATTAATTGTGGGCGCTGCTGCTGACTCGACAGTTCCCCCCTCTGCTTCGGTATCGCATTCCGAGTGGTCTCTCCGCTTTAGGACCACTAAAATGGTCCTTAACCCGGGCGCGGCGAGTGTCCCCTGTCTCTGGGCGCTTTTTCGGAGCGTTCCCTGCCTGTTTGCGCACCCTCTACATCTTTTCCCGTCTCTCTGCGCCGTCCTATCTAGCCGGCAACCCTACAACAATTCCCTTTCCAGATGATGGATCCCGACCAGATTTTCACAAAGCAGCAAAGGATTGGCCGCGGTTCATTTGGCGAGGTTTTCAAGGGAATCGATCAGCGTACTGGCCAGGTGAGTCATTGATTTTTCCTGACGGTTTTCGTGTCCGATCAATTGATTGAAGCTCTGGAAAGGGGAAGAGCCTTGAATTTTGGCAGTAGGGCCCAAATTAGTTTGCAAAAACAACCTATTGTTCATTTTTCTTTGATTTTCATGTTTTTACATGTTTTTTCAGGTCGTTGCCATCAAAATCATAGACTTGGAACAGGCTGAAGATGAAATCGAAGACATTCAACAAGAAATCCAGGTACTAAACGTTTTACAAGGTTTTAAATATAATTTAGATCCTCAGCCAATGCGAGTCGACCTTTGTCACCAAATATAACGGGAGTTATTTGAAGGTAACTTACTACGTTCCGTATTTATAGGTCGTTTAGGGCACAAAACTATGGATTATCATGGAATATCTGGGCGGCGGCTCGGCGTTGGACTTAGCGAAAAGTGGCCAGCTGGAAGAGGCGCATATTGCCGTAATTCTGCGTGAAATTTTAAAAGTATGATGGTTACCTTTGTTTTGACTGTTTTTAGGGCCTGGAATACCTGCACTCCGAGCGGAAAATTCACCGAGACATCAAAGGTTAAGTAACTTATCTTTTTAATCGATTTTTTCAGCTGCCAACGTGCTCGTTTCCGAAAATGGTGACGTGAAGGTCGCCGATTTTGGTGTCGCCGGCCAGCTAACAGAAACGGTCAAGAAGCGTGTCACTTTCGTCGGAAGTCCTTTCTGGATGGCGCCCGAGCTGATCAAACAAGCTAGCTATGATTTTAAGGTTGTCTTTTTGCGCGTAATGGTTTATCTTTGTGTAGGTTGACATCTGGTCCCTTGGAATTACCGCAATAGAATTGGCCAACGGCGAGCCGCCCTATTCAGATCTACATCCAATGAGGGTACGTGCTAATAATACTCCCTCAAATTTCACATTTTTAGGTCCTTTTCTTGATCCCGAAAAACAACCCACCCCAACTGACCGGCGCCACATGGTCGAAGCAATTTCGTGACTTCGTTGAGGCCTGCTTGAATAAGGATCCGGATAACGTAGGGGTTTTCCTTTTATTCTGGTGAACCCCAAATTTAGCGACCGGCCGCCAAAGATCTGCTGAAGCACCCGTTCATCCGAAAGGCGAAGAAAAACTCCATTCTGACCGAGGTGATCGAGCGTCTTGCCACACGACGTTCGCGCCTCGGTTCATCCTCGGACAGTGATATGGATAGTGGGGACGAGAACGGCGGCTCTGTGAATAAATGGGACTACCCGACGATTAAAGGCGATAAGCCGGTGAGGGTTTATACCGATTTTGGCTCGTTAAAATTTCGAGTGTCGTCTGTACGGTTTTTCGTGACTTGCTCTGCTTTTTATTTTTAATCAATTTTCTACGATTTTCGAAAATAGAGGCGCAGAGTCAGCAAACAGAAAAAATTCTAGTAGTGCTCTGTTTTGATTCGAAAATTTTGCGATTTTCTCAACCAATTTTCAGCCGATCGAAGAGGCCACTGTTCGTCAACGTGATGGCAACAAGCAACGAACACCGATTCGTGCTGCTCAGCCTCAAGAAGACGACCCTAACGACACGATAAAAAAGGTTTGCCAATTTTTTTGACAAAGCCTTGTTTTAGTCCTCCAACTACGCCAACATTGCTGGGCAGATACGCGGCTTGACCGTTTGTGACGACTATCCGGAGTCTAGCAAATCCGGCAATGGACAACAATACCCACCGGTACGCATTTATCAAATTTTCTTGTATGTCCGTTTTTACAGTCCTCTCCTGGGCCCACGGGTGGCGTGACAACGATTTCTGTCGGCAGCAGCCCACCACGGAGCAATGTATGACATTATTCCTTCAGCGGAATATTTTTGTTCTTTAGAATAATTTGCCGAGCAGCAGTAACGGGTCTGGCGGCCGTTCGAATGGTTCGCAGACGCGCAGCAATGGCGCCCCGCCAAAGAAAACTGTACGAAAATTACCTTCTTTTTTTACTTGTATCTTAGGGAGCATTGGAAAATGGGCTGCTGCCCGCGCTCGAGAAGTTGCAACGTACTCGCCACGCTCACCCAGAGCTGGAAGCGCTAGCGAATGCTTTCCGCGATGTGAGTTTTGTTTTATCACTATTCGCCTAACGGTAATTCGTTTTCACATGGCTTGAAAATTACCTTATTGCCCTGGCATAGCTTGTGCTGAATTTCTTGCTGGTCTAGGCGTAAAATTGGGGAAGAAGCTAGAATTCAAAATTTGCAGCTGTTTTGTTGTGAATCGGATCAACATGGCAAAATCTAATTAAAACTTTTATTTAGCATTTTCTTTGAAAATTCCTACCATGTCCTCGAACAGAAGACGATCCTATTTTCAATGAGCTATTTGGGCTTTGAACGCCTGTAATTTTTTTCAATCAAGGCCAGTCGACATCAGAAAGCAGCAAAAAAACTCTGTACAACATAGGCTAAATTAATTGTAAAAGAAATTCGGGCTTATGTGAAAACGCATCGCGCTCCAATATTTCTGTGAATTTACCGCCCCGTTCAGGCCGAGAAACGATCGCCGGGAATCTGCGACAAGTTCATCATCGACCTGATCAGCTCCATCACCGCACCGCAAGCCAAGCCGCACATGGTGGAGGCGGCCACGGAACGGCTCATCTCAAGGCGCCACTGATTTCCCCCACATCTTCCCCCCGACTCAATTATTGCAATAATACGGGTGCATTGGCTGCAAGAAGATTCTTTCTGTGCTTGTTGCTCTGCTCTTTATGAGTGTTGTATCTTGTAAGAGCCACACTTTTGTCTGTTTTTATTCTCTGTCCATAGTTTGATCCGTTTGGCCTCCTGACTCACTTACCCGACCGACCCAGCGGCCTTATTTCATTCATTCATTCATTCATCCATTCGTGACTGCCCGACCCCAACTACTGTACTCTCGCGTGTCATCCTCGACGATATCACTTTGCTTTTGTGATAAAATTTTTAATTCGAAGAGCTGGATTTGGGAGTAATACATCGATAGATGTTATTTTCAGCATCACCGGAACAGATCTTGTTCTATGGGTTTTGGCTAACCCAACTAGAGGAACTTTTCCTATTGATTAGCGCAAAACTCGAAAATTTTGTGCAAAAACCGAAAAAAGTATTCTGGACCAAAATTGAGAATTTTTTAAGATTTTTGAAGTATTTAGAAGAATTGGTCGTTTTACATTTTTCAGCGATTTGGAACGTACAACTTTGAAGATGAGAAATTGGTCTTTTCGCAGAGATCGCGCTCATTTGAATTGGAAAATTGCATAGATAGCTAAGAAACGATTTGGGACATTTGGAAAAAGTGGATCCTCATCTCATTATTTTTTTACTACTTGCCTCGTAATTGGTGGGTTTCCCCATTCATTTTCCGAAATCTATCTTTGCAGCTATTGAACTAACATGTGTATCAAACGGAAACAAAGCGAAGATAAGCCGGTGCCGGCAGCAGCGCCAGTGGCCCCGCGGCGGAGCCTCGTCTTCGGCAAGGCCACCCACAGCAGTGCACCACCAGTAAGTTTCCGCGGACGTTTGGGCGCTAAAAGGCGGCACTTGTCAAGTCCGACGACACGACGAATAGCACGCCACATACGAATACGAACACGCAGACGAGCACCACCACCGGCCATCGGCACCGGGACTCGGAGAAGAAGGAAAAAAAGGAGAAGGAGCCCGGCCAGGGGAAGAATTCGTCGAATCAGAAAAAGGCGGCGGTAAGAGGATGGTTATTTATATGTTTTTATAGGTTTTGAGCAGTTTCTGATACTAGACTACATTTTTACAGATTTAACTATTTTTCCTGCATTTTTGAGCAAAAAGCCCAAGCGTGTGTGCTCTTTTAATAGCTAGAAAGTGTATAAAACGCTATTAAATTGTTTTATGCTTCGTTGCTGTTATAAAAAGTTATATAAAACTCATTTTTTGAGCAAAAAGCGAAAATTTATACACATTGCTTATGACTTTTAACGAAAATAAGGCGCAAAATGCTATTCAAAAGTGTATGTTTCATTATTTTGCGTCTTCAGGAAGACAGGAAAAATCGAACTACTTAAAATGTTGAAAACTCACAAATTTTATGTTTAGAAAGGCCGAACTCGAAAATCGGCGTCGAAACGCACGAAGGAGGGCACACCACCGGCCAAGAAAAAGACCACCGAGGGCGAGGAGGAGTTTGAGAATGCTGATATTGATCCAGAGGTTCGGCAGGAGAATCTGGAATATGGTTTCAATTTTTTTAGCAGCTGAGCAAGGGCAAGAAGGACGAAAAAGAGGAGAAGGAGCCGACGAAGGAGGGCGGCTCGCTCGAAGAGTACGGCTCGACGGTGCCCGACTTTGACGATGCCGAGGCGTTGAAGAAGAGGGTAAGAAAAGGGGAAACGGGTTTTTCTATAAAAACAGGAAAACCGATGATTTGGGTAAAATTTATGTGGTTCTTTAGCGTTATCGGGGGGGGTGGAGTCCTTAGGAATCATTTTCAGGAAGTGTTTTTACTATTCATAAACGTGAAAACTGGAAAATCATTGCCAAAAACACAAAAAGTAACTTTTTTAGATCTTAGAAACTTGTTTTTAGTGTTTCGCAAGACGTAAAAACTAGAGTGTTTTATTAAAATACACGAAAATATAAGGTTTTTCTACCAAAAATGTCGAATCTGACCAAAATGTCAGTTTTAGAAATTTTCTGAGTTTTCTTGACATCTTTTCACTTGAATAATAGCTAAATTTTAGTAAAAACATTTTTAAATACTTTCTATACCTTGCTACGTAGCTACGTTGCTTTTATAGACAGATCTGGCTTTTTGACCCGCCCCCCCCGTTAACGGAATAGAACCTTGAAAACGTAATTTATATTGTAATTTAGAGAAATAAAAAGGTAAAAAGAAACAATGCTCGTAGAGACAGAAGAGCATGTTGCGCGCCGACCAGACGGAAGCAGAGACTCAACTGAGCTCTCGGCCACTGTCGGCCGATACTCAGCCGAGTTCGCCGGCGGTGTGCCCGACGCAGACGCAGACCCAGACGCAAACGCACACCACGTGCGCCAGCGTCAGCCTGGCCCCGCGACGAGCCGCCGTGGCACAGTTCGGTGGGTAGGGCTCGAGCTTTTGCAGGGGCCAATGGGCGGTCAGTTGGTGAGCATCATCTTGTACATGGTGTCCATTAAAACCCTAAATTTGAGCCAGAGGCATCCGATCGGCCCTAAATTTTTACCAGCCTTGCGAACTGCGAAAAACTATGTACACGCGAATTTTTGAGACAAACTAAGGGGATATAAAAAAGTGTAGCTCAATTAAGATACGTTTTGTGGTACTTTTGCATTATCGGGGGATGTCAGGGCTTTTTCAAAAAAAATACGAAAAAGGATAGGTTTTTTCGCCTAAAATCGAATTGCAAAATTTTTTAAAGTTTTGAGGTTTTCCCGCTTGCAATTTAACTAAATTTTACGAAAAATGCTGTACAGTACTTGCTATTACGTTATGACGCTTTTTGTGCAAATTTGTCGAAATTTGCAAAAAAAAGATCGAAAACGCGCACATAAAATGCATAAAAATACATTTTTAGCGCTAACTTTTCGTTTTTACAATATTTTGCCCCGAAAATTCGCGTGTAAATAGTTTTCATAGGTCTGCGTCGCTGGTAAAATTGACAATTTTTGGGGGACACCCTGTAGGTGATCGCCCACCACTTGACTGCTCAACCCCTTGAAGCGACAGCCTGTACCAACCGGTGCCACGGCGCCTACCTAGGCAATCCCGTTTTCAGAGCAAGGAGGGCCGCGACCGGAAGAGTAAGGAGAAGCGCAACCCGCGCGCCAGCAAGGAACGGCGGAAGGACGACAAAAACCAACGGACCACCTAAACCCTTTTCCATTACACCCCCCATTTTTCGGCTTTGCGTGTATTTTGTTTAGCTGTGAATAAACGTTAAAGATTTATCGATCAGGCGCCCCAGCCGACGTTGTTATTTTTGTCGTCGTCGAAGAGTTCCTCGGTGATTCGGATCGTGTTGTAGACCTTGAAATAGACATAGTTTCGTATTTTGTTTAGATTTCTAAACACTAAAATATAGTGATTGAAATGGTTACATTTTCGTAGTTATTTTTATAGAAATTGTAACAAGCTTTCTATTAGCTGCAAATTTAGTTAGTTTCTTTGAGCTATTTTGCTTATCATTTTATGACATTTTAATCCAGAAAAGCTAATAAAATTACCTGATTGATCAAGCTGTTCGCGCGCTCGATCAGCGCTTCCGGCTCGGCCTTCGTCCGCAGCATCATTACCTGAGAATTAAAAGTAATTTGAAGTTTGTACAGCTTTTAAAGTTGAAAATAACTGAAAGCTTATTAAATTTCATATAGTAAAAACGTAACAAACCTTATGTACAAAGCTGACAGTGGCCACGGGCACAAATTTTTCATAGGCGGCTCGCACTTGCTCGGCCGTAATTGAGGTGATGCCACTTTGCAAAACCTGAATAAATGCCGTTTTGTAGTGTAGTTTTAGTTTTATAACCTTGAGAAAGTTAACTACATAATACGATTGTTTTACTTACAAGCTGATAATGATAAGATTGTAGCAATTGTGAGGTTTGCGTAGCCCTCTCCTTCGGCGTCAAATTCCAGCAAATCGCCTTCGCCAAGTCCTCGCCAAAGCAACCGGCATGGCACGCTGAAATCAATCGGTTTTTCGCGCTGATTCTTTAAAATTAGGTTTATCGGCTTTATCGATCGTCTTACATGTCCAATCGACAATTCCTGCAATCGGATGATGATCGGTGTCCACGATATCGACAAAAATGTTTGAAGAAAATGGCTCGCCGTGGACCAGGACCTAAAATATATAAAAAAAAGTACCATACAAAACGGAAAAAACAAACATAAAAGCACATCTAAGCCTAAAAATTGACGACATTATATTTTATTTAATATAGCTTATCAAAGCTATTGATATTTCCACTTACTTTATTAACCTTCAACTCGTCGCTCGCCTCATTGACCGTGTTCTCCAGATACGACGCGGCAAAGAACTTTTCTATTTTCTAAAGAAAACTTTATAGATTAAAGGCAGGATGTTTTTTACCTTGAGCCGCATCGGGTCGGCCCCTTTCGATGTGAAGAACTCGAGAATCTCGGGGAACGTGCCGGCTTCATTGGCGAAGAATGAGACGGGGAGATCGGCGATCTAAAAATTTAAAAATAGCTAAAAATAAAATTTTAGACTCACAAGCGTGGTCCACTGCTTGTCGCGCCACGATTGAGCGTGCAGGCGCGCCAGCTGGAAGAGCAGGTCCCCGACGTTTTCGCACTAAAATGGGGATTTAGGTTATTTAAAAAACCTGTCATGATTCCTCAGGGCTCTCTGCTAGCTTACCATGAGAAAAAGAAAGAGAAAAACAATACCCCTAATCCATTTCTCTCATCCTGTTGCTGCGCGTCAACTCCGATATCGTCCATAATAATTACGGCGCCCCCTTCTTCATTGCCGTGCTTCTAAAAATAGATTTTATAGTTGATCGTATATAGAATTGCGTATAAAAAACATTACAAACTATAACCAACCTTGATGTGATAAATTTTCGGCGTAGGAAAGTCCTTCAAATGTTGCAGCCAGTCAAAGGCGTTGCATTCTCGTTTGAAGAGCGTGTAGTAAAAGCGCCCGCGCTCGTCTTCCCGCGCTTCTTTATTCAGGGGTATCTGAAAAAAATAAGCCTTTGCTAAAATTAAAATTCATTTACCTTCAGAACCACCGATTTTGGTAACCGAATATCCTCACTTTCCCAGGCCATCGTCACGCGGATCACCGTCGAGGACTCGATTTCTGGAGTTTTTGATGTTTTACTTGGCTTTTAATAGGTTTATGAACTTTGTTATGGTTAAGTGAGATTATAAATGAAGAAAATGACGACTTCCTAAAGCTTGGCACCCGGAAAAGTCTAGAAAATAGCTTCTCGCCTCGATCTTCCGAATATCAAGCAGTTTATAGTTTATATTTATGAACCTGACCTTGTTTTTGAGATGTAAAACTTAGAAAATAAGTCATTATTAGTTATTAAAGCTTTAGAAAGAAGGAAAGCGCGCAAAAATAAGTCTAGCAAAAATACCTGAAGAAGCCTTCCGGTTCAGCCGCTCGGCGATCCATTGCGGTTCTTCGTGAATCGGGAAATGCTCTGCCAGCTTTTTCACGACCCATTTGATTCTAAAACAAAAACACTTATTAAATTACGTCCTAAATACCTTATTTCAGTGTTGCAGACTCGCTCGTCTTCCCCGCCAAAGCCCGTCGCGGGCACCGGGTTCGGCTCCATCGACGGCACACTAAAAGGGAAAAGATAAAAAAACCAATGACTTTTTGGATATTTTACGTACTTTTTAACCTCCAGCTATATCCACGAATTTTTTTGGAAGTTTTTAGAGGGTTTTCTGGGCTTTATGTATGTGTTGTTGGCCGAACAAAAGGGACCGGAAGCTCGTTTCGAGGTGTTTCGCGGCGACGAAACGTTTTTAGGAATTCCCTCAGTTGACTATATGACGGAAAATCTAGAAAAAAGTCAGTAGAAAGTAGAAAAAAAAAATAAGTAAATAAGTCAATCGTAAAAGCGAATCTATTACAAAAGCGGTGGATACCGACAAATAACAAATTTTTGCGAGTTACAGAGCTTAGAAGCTGCTCTAGATCCGCAAAAAAACCGGAAATACGCTTAAAAGTTTAGTTTTAAAGTTCTTAAAAGTTAGTAGGTTTTAAATGATTAAATTCAATGCGTTTTTAAGATTCTGAAGTTTCAGAAACCGGTAAAGTAGTGTTAGAAATGGCAAATATGGCTTCTTTTATCGCCAAAATGTCAAAAATTCGTAAAACTCCTACCTAGAAGACGATATAGCGTCGTCATCCTGATTCGGGAGCGTTAGGCTGGCGACGGAGAGCCGGTTGTGGTTATGGCGTTCCATATGCCGCGGGGATGGGGAGGCCGACATCGACGAGTCTTCCACCGACACGGCGCAGCCCATTTTAGAGGCGCTATAAAGAGCACATTAATGGTATTATCAGCATCAATGCGCTAAATTTAACAAGTTTAAAATGAATATTAATCAAATTTTAGCACAAATAAAGATTTTGGACATAAAAGAGAGCGCGATAGCAGCCTTGGCGACCTGCCAAAAGGCGACCACCTCGCAAAAATGACGTGCCGGCGGGGGCACACTTTAGAAAGTGCTCTCCAGCGCCACACTTTCCAAAAAGGGCATGGCCGCCGAAATCAACAATGTGACTTTTCAGGGGGGAGGAGGAGGAGGAGGTGTTGGCCCTCCACAGCTTCTCCCATCCGGTCCAGCCCCCCCCCAAGGCCAACGAAAAGCCTCAATTCGTGGAGGTGCCATTCCGAGTGGTTGCTCTGCTTTTCGGGGCTAACCGGCCAATGATTTTGGCACCTTTTCTGGCTGGGTTTCTCTGCGCCTCTTGATCTCTAGCCTCAAAACGTTGAGGTCGAAAAATCAAAAAGTCAAAAAGTCGAAGCGTGAAGACGTCAATAGGCCTGTGGATTTCGTAAGTTTTAAAGGGGCGTTGAAGGCAAGCGGCTTAAAAAAATTAGGGGTCGAAGTACGCGCTCGCTTTTAAAGTTTTTTAACTATTCCTAAACGCTGACTTTACAAATTTTATGAAAATAGAAAAACATAGAGATTTTTCGGCTAAAAATACCGAAGACACAAATATCAAAATTTTGCTAAGTTGTCGACCGTTCTTACCGGAAAAATAGTTAAATTTTACCAAAAACTACGTTACTAACCATTTCTGAACGTACACGAACTCCCCCCTCGGATAATAGAAAAGCACCTATCCACCAATAAGCGTTTAAAGGGACTGTGAAGGAAGAAAATTGCCGAAAATAAAGGCTGAATGCTAAACCATTTTTTTGTGCAAAAGGGGTTCCGCGACGCTGAAAAAGGCTTAATTTGCACCGGTGCGAACGCTAAAATGTGCAGAAGCTACCGTAATCCCACCCCAAAGATTGCTTTTGGCGCGATGCCAAAAACCTGCCATTCCTGGCGACTCTGCAAATCCCGGGGCGCCACCCCGAAAAAGCGTGAAATCGGGAAACCCGACCAAAAATTGAGGGGAACCTGCCTCGGGATGGAAATTCCCGGATTTAGACGAGGAAATGCGTGCATATGAGGTCGACGAAAAGCGGAAACGACACGACTTGGAAATGGCTCTTGGCTCCAAGTCGGGCTTCCGGTTAATGCTTGAGCTCCTCAACGGATTGCACAAAAATCGCGACTTTCACGTGGAAATGGGATGTGGCCAAGTTGGCAGGGATTTTGGGGGAATGGGGCAAGGGCAGACTAGCAGAGATTCGTTGAGGAATTGAGGGGAAAGGCAGTTTAGCAGAGATTTTTTCAGGAACGGAAAGCAGTGGCAGCTAGCAAGGATTCTTTGAGGAATCTGGAAAAGGGCAGGCTAGCAGGGATTCTTTGAGGAATTGAGGGAACGACAAGCTAGCAGGGATTCTTTGAGGAATCTGGAAAAGGGCGAGCTAGCAGGGATTCTTTGCGGAGCCGGTGAAGGTGCACTCTAGCAGAGATTTTTGTGAATGAGGAAGGAGCTAGGCTTGCAGGGATATTTTGACGAACTGTGGGAATGGGTAGGCTAGCAGGGATCCTTTGAGGAATCTGGAAAAGGGCAAGCTAGCAGGGATTCTGTGCGAAATTGAGGGAAGGGAATACTAGCAGAGATTTTTTTTTGAGGAATTCGAAACGAGGGCAGGCTAGCAGGGATTCTGTCAGAAGCTGTTAGATGGGGGCAGGCTAGCAGAGATCTTTTGAGGAACGAAAAGCAGTGGCAAACTAGCAGGGATTCTTTGAGGAATCTGGAAAAGGGCAGGCTAGCAGGGATTCCTTGAGAAATTATGGGAATTGGTAGGCTTGCCGGGATCCTTGGAGAAATTGAGGGAAGGGAATACTAGCAGAGATTTTTTTTGAGGAATTCGAAAGTAGGGCAAGCTAGCAGGGTTTCTTTGGGAAACAGAGCAATACGCTTGCAATCAGACGTCCCTGTAATTTTCAAGCAAATTTTCGCCTTTCTCGTCCCCATTTTGCACTTTAGCCCTCAGAAATGCAACTATTTCCGGACAACGGCTATAGTCACTCTTCGGCCCCCATAAATGGACACAAGCATACGTAAATTTCGCAACCCCTAGAGAACGGAAGGGCCTCTTTCTTGGGATTAGCGTTCGCCCGGGTGAATCCGTATAAGGTTGGTCGGCCAAACGGCTTGACCCACACGGGGCAGCTGCTGCCAAGAAATGTCCCTTAGTCGCGTTCGTATCGGAGTGGCGCGGATTGGTGGGTAGGTAGCTTCTGGCGGTTCCTCTCGGCTCCTCCAAGGTCTCGACAACAACGAGCTACTCCAAAAGAAGCTGCTTCGTTTTTTTTTGGAATTTTCGTAGTTCTCTTTGACTTTCTCTTATTTTCAATATTCTAATTTGTTGGTATATTGGACGCAAGATAATGCATTACGGCATGAAAATCCACCGTTTGTTTTGAATTTTTAAAGGGAGAGAGAGAGCGAGAGAGAGAGGGAGAAAGAGAGAGCGAGATTGAGAGGGAGCGAGAGAGAGAGCGAGAGCGAGAGTGTGACGTGCGAGAGCGAGCGAGAGGGAGAAAGCGAGAGAGAAAGCGGGAGAGCGAGAGCGAGCCAGAGCCACAGAGAGAGCGAGAGAGAGGCAGGGAGATAGCGATAGAGATAGGCAGAAAGAGAAAGAGAGAGAGAGGGAGTGAGAGGGAAAGAGAGAGCGATACAGAGAGAGAGAGAGAGAGAGAGAGAGAGAGAGAGAGAGATGAGAGAGAGACTGGGAGAGATAAATGCTCCAAATATTTCTGGAAGCGCGCGTCTTCTTGTTGCCCCTTTTTGTGAAGCCCGCTTCTTCTTCTTCATCATCATCTCCAGTTGCAGCGTCGGAAGTGGCGTTCCCAGCTGAAAGGTGAGCCCCCCTCACCGTTGACTGGCCCGGGAGACATTTCCCTTGTTTCTGTTGTCTCCACAAGAAACCGAAAATTCGGCACGTCTTCCGGGGCATTTCGGGTGTATCTTTTAATTCTAACTAGAATCTACGACAGCGATCCATCATTTCGGGGCCAGTACTCGCCTCTATCTAGTTTTTGGATCTAGAATCGATGGGGAAGTGTGTCCCATCTTGCTTCCCCCTCCTCCTTTGAATCCCTAAGGCTAACGAATTGACCTCTAAAATCGGGAGGTTGAGGAGATCGAGTTCGTAGATAACGTCATGCTCCTCTGGAAATAAGTGGAAACGACCTCCGCCCTAACTTCACACCTGGTTAAAGGTATCTGTCGTTTCTCTCTCGCTCTCTCTCACTCTCTCTCTCTCACTCTCTCTCACTCCCCTCTCTCTATCTCTCTCGCTCACTCTAACTCTCTCGCTCTCTCACTCTCTCTCTCTCTCTCTCTCTCTCTCTTTTCTCTTTTCTTTCTTTTTCTTGGTATAGCTCGCTTTCTGGTGCTCTCTAGCGCTCTTTCACTTGCTGAGTCTCTGGCTTTCTCGCGATCTCTCGCCCTGTAGCTCACTCACTTGCTTTCTCGTCTCCTCGCTTTTTCGTACTCTCGCTCTCACGTCTTAGTTGGCTGTCACTCGCTTACTCCTGTCTCTCTCTCTCTCTCTCTCTCTCTCTCTCTCTCTCTCTCTAATTCAAGTGCCAATACGTGCAAAAGCGCGATAGTCACCTAAAAAACTTTCTCCGTCATCGTCGACCCCTGTTGTGCCTCCTAAAAAGTGCCCCAGCTGCACCCGACCCATTGGGTGCCCGCAGGGAATTAGTCAGGATTCCGAGCTGGGAGGGGGATGAAGGAAGGGCCATCTGGCACCTCGTCCACCACCCTGAACCTCCATCTACTGGCACTATGACTCGGATCATGTCTAGTCTGGCGGGTAGTCTGCTTCTCTGGGTCTCTATAGGAAGAACACTATCTCTCTCTCTCTCATCTGCCTTAACTCAGATTCAGCATCGAACTTTGGCCGGGGTCAGTGATAATTCTACTGTTTCTCTGCTTCTCTACCTTTCTCGCTCCTCATCTCATTCACGCACTCACTCTCTTTCTCTCTCTCGCTCTCTCTCTCATCCTCTCTCTCTCTCTCTCTCTCTCTCTCTCTCTCTATCTGGTTCAGACACGTCAGCTGGCACCAACGCCTAATTTCCCGGGTGCATTTGATTGGCACCCCTTCCTCCCCTTCTTCTCTCTCCACTTTGTCTCTCTCTTTCTCTCTCCTTCCCACCCCATCCCCTCCTTTCAGTTATTGCCTATGCAACCGACACTTCCCCCACCCAGAACCCCCATCCTCCCATCTAAACCATGGGAAAATTCCGACCGGCTCCGATCGTCAGGGTGGAGATTTGTGGTGATCACAAGGGTTGGGAGGAATGCTTATTAGAATGGCCTAGATTTTGGTAAAATATCACGATTGTTGTTTGATTTTCAAGGTTACATCTTGAGCTAAAACTCTAGCTTTTTTCCAATGTCTCTATCTGTCTCGGCCTCTATCTCTCTCGGTCTCTCTCTCCCTCTCTATCTCCTTCCTGGACCATTTAGAAACCTTGCGAATTCCATTGCGTAACGCATTTTCATGAGTTCTGTTTTGATCAGATTCGATTTGGTTGTTAGTGCAAGAATATTGCCATCATCGGAGCGAGCGAGAGAGCGACAGAGAGAGAGAGCAAGGTAACTGGGGAATATCGTTGCTGATCATTCTATTGCTCAAACACTTGAGCCCGAGCTTTCGAACAGTTTTCAATGAAGTCTGCTAGCGGGAGAACTCGTACTTTTTCATTTTTCTGTTGTCTTCTGCTCTATTTGGGTTCCACAACTTTCCACCGAACGGTTCGGGGTAAGCGGCGGAGGCGGTGGCGGCTTAACAAAGGAGTGCAAATTCAGCATTTTTGACGGTTCAGTTGAACGATTTTCTGACGTTTTTTGCGGGGTAACGTTTCTTAGCGTACAT